AGGGCAATGATTCTGTAATGGTTTCCCGTGATTTATGTTACATATAATTTATATGTTGTATACTATAAACGAATCTCTGTTTCAACCTGTTAACAAAATCAGAAAGGTAATGGGTAAAAACAAAAATTGAACAATTTTCAAATCCAAATAAGGGTGTTTTACTGATCAGTGTAAGGTATCTAGCAATGGAATATCTGTAAGGTAAAAGACAGATATCACTATAATTAAGGAATATAATATCATACGGGGAAGGTACACAGTATCTCCACATTTCTTCATATTGTAAGCTTTGCCATTCATGGAAGTCTTTACCTTAAGTGTTTGCCTTGGTATAAACCAAACGAGAGAGTGTTTTGACTGTCTTTTGTCAATCTGTACTAATGAACTGGAGTCCTCCTAATCTTGTAGATATTGATGTTGGTCGGAGCTAAGATAGGTGGCTCTCTGGCGCTGATCATTGACTAATCTTGGATTTAATTTGTCGGACAGCTGACTCATTTTTATTGATTGATTCTCACTCAGTGCCATCACAGGTTTTTATAGAGACAGTAACACATCACTGTCAGGAATTCAATTCTCTCTCTGTTTAGTCATGCATTGGCTTTGTTGATGTATATATGTCATTTTTGTTTGATCTGAATCTTAGGTTGGTATGTAATTGTACATTGTCAGCATTTATTAATAAGATATAGATGAATGATAGTTCTCAATCTTTGCATGTATACAAAATTCAGCCTATATTTTTTAGTACATTTTGTTTTCTTGTTTCCTTGTTGTCTTTATGATATTTTAAACAACTGAAGATATACCGGTAGTTTGAAAGAAAGGAAACTAGATGAGCAAGACAATTGTGATAGCATAGTACAGTAGTCAGAAGACACTTTTTTAAACAGGAAGATATATACACTGTATATGTAGATGTGTCTATAATCTACATAAATGCCTATGCATTATTCCTGTTTGATGATCCAACCTGTACATGTTATGTCCCATCTCCTATAACTTGCTATAACCATTGACAGCTCCAGTATTTATAGGGCTTAGAGGTGATTCATTGGTCTGGCTACAGACTGCCCATTGTTATAGATATCTGTGAGCTCAATCAAATCGGGGTCCAAACCTTTGGTCCAATCTCCCGATCCTGGATTAACTTCTCAAGCTGATGTATTACAGTCAGTCCTGATTACTCGGCTGTGGTCATCTTCAGTTTGTAAGACAGAGATTTGTTGTACAAATTTGAACAATTGTTCAGAGAGAAGTTTTTATGCTTCATAACTTATAAGGATGAAATAAGAGAAAAATTAACTTCTGTTCCCGACTGAGTGATAGCTCTTCATGTAAACTTAGAGCTTTGGTTGATGTACGTGATCAAATCTAATGAGCTATAGTGCTTCCTCTGTGGTTTCAATACACACTGTTATGGATGCTGCAAAAGAAAAAGGCTTGTTCTAAAATATCTACTTGTCTTTATAGGGTGAATATCCGGCCAGTCCTGAAACAGGAAGCTTTGCGATGAACAGGAAATGGTTCAGTGCCGCGTACAGTAGAGGGATTATGACTCTCCAAATGTAGGGCAAGAAAAGAGGAAAATGTGAGCTGTTTTTTGATGAAAATCTGAAGAATTATAAGTGGATTAAAATGGAAGTGACATTCAAAACACTGCTGGACGAGACGGTTTACGGGCTATTACAGACAAGTGCAGGTGTGTGTAGTCTGCACTGTTAACGCAGGTGCATCTGGGTGACGTATATGTTTTACTTATGTGAGATTTTTGTGACGTGATCATTGTCAGCTGAAAATTATTCAATAACATCAACATCCGTTATCACCATGGATAAATTTGGTGTGCATTTGAAATCCACCGGATTACCAAACACCAGGGAGAAAGAAAAGACAAGGCAAACAACAACTAGGAAAAATCAACCTACGAACATGAAGGATATAAAAAGTATGTTTGAAAGCAAGTCCGAAGGAACTACTGGTTCGACCAGTGCCCCAGTTTCCATGGGAACAGACTTTAAAAGTAGATCATACACTACCCAAAAAACTGTGACCAAAAAACCCAGTAGTGATAAAAGTGCCAAAGATGAAGAGGACTTAACATTGTTTTCTCAGTTCAAATTCAGTATTGATGCCAATAAAAATACAACGCTGGAGAGAACTAATAGCTCGGATAGTTGTCATAGCATGGGTAGTCCAAGAGGTGTCAGAAAAGCAAACAAAGATGACACAAATGACACAACCAAAGCACAGGTTGTCAAGTCAAAGGTCATGACCTCTTCTTCCAAAACCTTTCAAGCTTCTGTTGATAGTAAGATACACAGAGTGAATTCACGGGAAGATAATTCCCTCAAACAAAAGGCCACATCAGACCTCATTGGAAATTTGGCCATCTTACGAACTCTTCCTGGAGGTAGTAAAAAATCAGAAACGTCTGCTTCATCTGCTCAGAGTGAAACATCCAAACCAAACAAAGTTTTCAAAGAAACATCAAGTTTATTGAAAGAAAAGAAAACGTCATCTACCGATAGTGTCAATTCAGATAAAGATGTTGGTCAGAAAAGTAGTGTATCAAGGACCAAGGAATTTTCAGTTTCAAAATCTGCTAAGAAAAGTTCTGATGTCAGTAAATTAAGTGGGGAAAGTAAATTAACAAAACAAAAAGAATTGGGATCTTCTTTGAGTCCTAAAGCAAGTGAAAAGAAATTCAAAAGTGATTTTGGACTAAGTTATAACAAAAAGCAAGAAATTAGTGTATCATCTGGACCAGGGCTTAGTCGTCAATCCAGCACAGACTCAGTGACCTCAGAAAAGTCAAGTCCAAGGTCATCTCTCAAAAGTAAAGGTAAATTAAAACTGGATCAGTCCACTGCCTCAGATACTGGGTCGTCTGGAAGCTTGAGTCCGCGGGTCAAGTCCTTCAGTCCGGAAGTAAAACCGGATGAGAAGCCGGAGTGGATGGAGAAAAGTAAAGAACTTGTGAACAAGTTCCAGACCAAGTTAAAGAAGCCTGTGATTTCTGACTTCTCTGTCATTGTGACCACTAGCAGTGTTTCTGAAGAAACGACAAAATCTTCCACTTCATCATCATCCACCTGGCCATCTAAATCCACAACTCCACAAAAAACAGACACTGTTACTAACACATCTTCCACATTTACCAAAACCAGTGTTACAAGAACTGATTCAGGCAGAAAGAGTGACTTGCATGGCTATAAAGAGGCTTTGCTTAGTAAAGAAGCAAGCAGCAGTAAAGAGTTTTTGGAAAAATTCTCAAAGGACAAGGAACTGAAAGAGGAGAAGACAGATAAAGAGTTATTGTCACGTAAAACTAGTTCAGAACAATTTCAGAAACTGAAAGGAGGATTTGAACAATCTGATGATACTTCCAAATCTACACAACCAAAACCAAAAATTGAGATGCCAAACTCTAATCAGTTTCTGGAAAGAAGGAATTCATTTGAAAAGCCAAAGCCTGCAGACATTGCAAAGTGTACAACTCTGAAGAACCTAAAAAATGATGGCAAAATTGTTGGAGTGAAAGACAGAATAAGTGCTTTAAATGAAGGCAAGGGTGAGGTTGTGGATGAAAGGTTCCGAAATAAAGTACAAACACAGAAGTCAACTGAGAAGTCCAAAGATTCAGACCAGGAATATCACGATGTAGCTGTGAACCGAGCCGGGCCGACCAATGACTGGCCGACGTCCGAGAGTGAAAGTGACGAGAATATGTACGAATGCATTCCAGCGACTGGTGAGTTCAGACCATTGTCTCTTAGAATAAGTTCTGTCCATGTCTCTCTCTGACAGATCATTTTTGCCCACATCTGCACTATGATTTATTTCTGTACATGAACTGAATATAGAAAATTCATTATCATAAATCCATGATGATATGTCTTAAGCTGATGGGATTAGTGCCGTTCATTCGTATGACGATGAAGAGTATATTAACTAGATTTAGTAAGGGGTTTATTTTCCTGATTTATTTTGAAAAATCGGATTTGAAAGGTAATGATCTACCTGAATTTTGTGAATTGTAGACCTTTGTTATTTTTATTCCGTAGATCCCCGCAAGAAGGAAGAAGGGGGGACAGAACACAGACTGACCAGGAAGCATGGACAGAAAAGGTGAGCATCATTAAGTAACACAGTGGTTTACTAGCAGGGAGAAGTCTGTAAGCTTTATAATGCTGTATGGGGAAGTTACTTACTATATATTATAGGGCTCTTGTACACTTTATTATTTAGTAATATGTTAATGAATTCAGGTCAGTTTTTGATGTTCTGTCTGGAATAAGGAAGGATGTGTTATATTTTTCCCGGAATTATAAAAAAAAATATGTCCCAGTTTCTTTTCAGTCTTTGTTGAGAATTGTTGGGTTAACATAAAGTTTGACTACAAATGCATAAAATTTGAAGAAGCTAGTATCATATAAGTTTTTAGCAAATTGTGAGGAAAAAGAAGATTTTTCTTGCTTTTGAAAGGCAAGAGTTTCTGAAAATTAAAGATTTTTATAGTTCATATATATGAAGTCATCTGAGGGATAATTAAATTTATCTCTTTGCATTGATTTCCTTGAATTCACCCAACTTTACAATTTACTTCACAGAATTGATATTGGAACAAATATTTATCTCAATGGAATGACTGAAAGAAAAATTGTTAATCATAACAGTGAACAGTTTAGTATGAAACAATTGAACATTAAATTATGTAAATTAATACATTATATATAATGGATTCCTCTTGCTTCACACAGTCCCTCTAGCATTAGGTAAGATAAGAGCATGCTATCCTGTACATGTTATCAAAATATTACACAGAGAAATCAGCGTTCAGAAAGGGAGATAATCCCTACTTTTGTAGACTCTTTATAATGTATTCACATTGAACACTCATTTCTCTGTATAAACTTCACTTGTTTTTATGTTTATATAAGCCTGCCAGTGAGATATGCAAAATATGTGTATATACCTTCCAAAAGGTTTGTCTCATCAGATTGTAGTACAACATGTAATCTGTTCCATTCAGTTTAATGCGCAGATGTCAGACGTTCTTTAATGTACGCAGCATCCAGTTGTACACTTTATTTCAATTATACTTACATATATATCTATCTTTTGTATTTTTTAACTCTGTTCTCTTTATTTATTTATTTTTCTTTAATTTATGTTACACATGATATATACGTATTAAACCAAGTATACCTTAGTTCTTGAACTAAGATTTGAAATATGCAAAGTTTGTACTTTTGTGCAATCTCTATAATCATTATTAAACTAAATGGAGCACAAGTTTTTGAGGATGAATAATGAAAATTTTGAAAATCTAAGAAATTACTTTTTATCAATGATTAATGCATCTGACTTAAAAGCAAGTCATTTAATTAAGACTGGCTGTTACCTGTACGGTGATTGATGTTTAAGAGGACATTGGTCAGTTTATCAGTAATGGTTCCTGGCAGTTAGGCACAATGTAGTTATTGGTCATACAGGGCTATTACTGGCATAGGGTGCAAGAGGTTTTTTGGAGAATTCAATATTTTTGTAACTAGAGCACTTTGATAGATTCAGTCTTGTTGCATGATATTAGTGACCAGAAAATTGAAATTCACATTCAAAGGGAGAGAGGAAAAATACATTAGCATGTGAGCGCCAAGCTTAAGTCACCCAAAAATGTTGTGATTTGTAAATTTTTATTTAGTTAATTACTTCTGATTGCGTGGTATACTTGTTTTGCATGCTTTTCATTACTTCAAGACAGCATTACCTGAAGAAAATAATTATCTATTTCTTTGTAATTTTTACATAATTTGTGGAATAATAAGTTGGAAAATATATGCATATACTGAAGTTAAATGTTTGTTACTTCTCTTATTTCTCCAATTTAACTTTTTCAGGAAAGGTAATAATCGACCAAGTTTTGACCTTGACTCTCATGTAAATGACAGTTCATCTGAGGTCACAACCGAGGCAGGGGATAGCAGCAGCAAGGAGGGAACACTGGAGAGTACTGAAGATGTAAGTGTGGCGGATCTAAGGATTTACATATACAAGGGGTGAAAAAAGTTATTAAAAAATAGAAGAACTAAAAAAAAATTAAAATAAATTTCCCCTGAAATTTTTAATTATTTAGGACTTCCTACTAAAATTTTTTAAGTATTTAGGATATTGGGGTTTCAAGATGATTTTGTTTTAAAGTTTGTGATGAAAAAATTTATGGGAAAAGTAATTGTGTAGATATTTCAAGTATTTTATATTCCTGTTTTCCAGCAGTAGCTTAAAATTAAGAAGAGTCTGTATATTAATTTAAATTCATATGAACACAGAATTTTCTAAGCCTATATTGCCCTTAAGTTTTTATTAATTATCTGTTGCACATATTATAGTCAGTGTAGAAAATAGATGCATTTCAATAATATTGGTAGTCTGCATGATTTAATTGTGCATGGAGTGCATAAATATAACACATCTAGTGTGCCAGACAAATTGAATTGTAGCAGATATAAACAGTTGATAAGACGGCATTTTATTTGGCCACAAGCCTTCATATTTACACAATGTTAGCCCCTGGCTTTAAAGCATTCTCCGCATATTTGTAACATTTTGGTATCGGAGCTGTATGAATGAATATACTTATATACTTATACAAAATCTGTGGATGACAAATGTGCAAAATCTGTGTATTCAAGTGTGTCCGTGTGACAGTCTATATTTAGAACATTCGTCAGGTGTAAGCCTACCTGTGTGATTTTTTGTTTGTTTTTCATCAGTATTATCTGTGGATTTGTGGCCTCATTCGACAGGTAAATCCGTTTGTATGAGTTTCTTTTATTTTTAGTTCTGGGTGTGTTTAAATATTTTTCTGTGACTTCTAAAACAAAGTTTGTGTGATGTTCCGTTCTTACTTTTTTATCCCAGTCTAAAAGTTCAAGCTATGGATTTGACATAAAATTGAATTTACATAAATGCTTATATTTTTATGTCAGTGATTTTTTTAATTAGTAGTTTTACTTACTTGTTGTTTAATTGTAAATCTGTTGTATTGTTGTTTGTTTGTAGTCCATGCATGGGGAACTTATGATTTACCTTAATTGGTATGAAACAAAACAAGTGAATTTGATTACATTCTTAACCATATGCAGTAGTAAAGTTGTCCAGTAGAATGGTTCATTGAATGCATTATTAATTTTATCATGAATTTATAAGTTGTTAATTGTGAACTTTAACTGATTTTGGTGGTACATAAAGTCATGATAGAATTTATTAGAAGTAGCCAGGTGATTGGTAAAGGTGTAAGACATTCCAGCATACAGGTGAAGTACTTATATACCTCCCAGGTAAATATGGGTCAAGTTCAAATGAAGATCATTTCAGTAAACTTACCTTCTACATTTACAGTAACCATTCTAAAATTTTACTGAAGCAAAACTTCAAATTATCAGTAGCTTTGTGGCATTGCTTTTGATTGAATTTTGCTGGCATGCTGTCATGTTGTGAATTATGCAGTATGTAATATCAATCATGTTAGGAACAGACTGAAGTTTAACAGATGTGTTAGAAGCTGTTTCTGTTGAAAAATTTAATGACCTGCAGTTTGTAAAAAAGATAAGATACCCTTGCAGATTTGCTATTTTTTGTAGCCTCCCCCATAGCTTGGTAATTTTTTATTACACTCCTTTGGGAAATTGTATAAATTTTATAATGTTTCTTTGATGAATCTGAAGGAGTCCTCATTATATAGAGTGCAAATCATGAGTATTTAATTTAGTCAGTGGTTATCAGTAACTGATTTCTTTTACAGGACATTTTATTGCCCAAGAAATCATAGCAGTATAAGACAGATATTTACACAATCTATTTGCTTTGGTTTGTAGATATTTAGGGGTGTATATTGGTGTTTCCAGAATTGTTTTATAGAAGATTTGAATTTATAATGGTTTTACCTCAGGGCACTGGAATAGAGGCAGATGTTGAGGAATATGATTCTGATGGGAGTGGAAGTTCAGGGATTTATGAGCCAATAGATCCCAATTGGGAATCCCACAAGCCTTCCCAGGATTCCACAGGACAGGAAGAGCCTCCCGTTTTACCACCAGGTAGAGGACGCCACAAGAAAAAGGACGGTAAAACAATCGGCAAAAAGCTGAAAAAATTCAAAGAGAAACTAGGCTCAAATGCAGCAAAACAGAACGAAGGAAGTCTTCCAAAAGTATCATCTACATCTTCCATCACATCAAATAGCTCTTCCTCAGGATTGTTAAAGAAAGTGGGTAAAATTATGAAGAAATCAAAAGTGAATGGTGCACAAATGAGGAATGGGGAGGACCCTGAGGAAATAAGGGTGTGTAACAGCGCAACTGACTCTAGTGACATTAACGAGGATATCTACGAGGACGAACCAGTTCAGTTACGTGCTCATATAGGTTCCTCAGGAGGCGAGGACAATTCTGGCTCGGACATTTATGAACAACATATTGAAGTTGACAGTTTGGATCGGGCCCCCTCTAGGCCCCCACCCCCTCCCCCCACCGCCCCACCAGCCCCTCCTGTACCCCCCAGGTTATCCCTTCCCCCAGTGCCAGATAAAGATGTACCTCCGCCACGACCCCCATCCACGGGGAAAATTAAGTCCCCAGGGGATGATACGCCTGCTCTTCCACCTAGGAATAGGATATCAGGGAACTTCAATCTGGATATGGTGGTCCCTATCAGCCCGGGAGGGTAAGAATCAAATGATGCTTTTCAATTTTCTTTTTGGTGTAATGTAATGGGTGAATTTTGTAGTGATTTCTATTTTAAATTTGTATTGTAATTATAATTTAATCATTGATCAGTATGTGTTTAAACAAATTATTGAAGTTTCCCAGCAATTAATGCACATATGTGGGGTGTGCCATGCTACTTTTTTTGCCATCCATTGATGATTTTATCAGTGTACATACTTGGTCATAGTCAAAGTATAATTATCATTTTACAGACGTTCAGGGCCAACTTGGCACCCAGCCCCAGAAAGCTACCTGCATGGTCACAATGTGAAAGGATCCAAGTTCAATGACCAGGTAGATGGGGGTGGATCCAGCAGTTCATCAGATGAAGCTCAGAGTGGCATGGTCAGGACAAGTAAGTCATGAGAGCTAACTGTTCAGGCCAGGGAGATACAAGGATGGATGTATTTTAAGATATACAGTGTACATTGTCACGTCAAAAAAGTACAGTTCTGAGAAACCACCAAGAGTAGCCAGAATAAATCTTTGCTTTCTATGCAATGACATAATGTGAGTGCGTACATTCTTGAAGAATGTTTGTCATAACCATTTTTAGCTCACCTGAGCTGAAAGCTCAAGTGAGCTTTTCTGATCACATTTTGTCCGTCGTCCGTCTGTCCGTCTGTCTGTCTAGCTGTCTGTCCGTCTGTAAACTTTTCACATTTTCGACTTCTTCTCAAGAACAGCTGGGCCAATTTCAACCGAACTTGCCACAAAGCATTCTTGGGTGAAGGGGATTCAAGTTTGTTCAAATGAAGGGCCACGCCCCCATTCAAGGGGAGATAATTGGGAATTAATGAAAATTTGGTGGTATGTTTTAAAAATCTTCTTCTCAAGAACTACTGTGCCAGGAAAGATGAAACTTATGTGAAAGCATCCTCAGGTAGTGTAGATTCAAATTTGTTCAAATCATGACCCCCGGGGGTAGGGCGGGGCCAAAATGGCCGACCAAAGTTTTACATAGAAATATATAGGAAAATTCTTTAAAAATCTTCTTCTCAAGAATAGCAAAGCCATAATTGATCATATTTATATGGAAGCATCCTCAGGTAGTGTAGATTCAAGTTTGTTCAAATCATGACCCCCAGGGGTAGGGCAGGGCCAAAATGGCCGACCAAAGTTTTACATAGAAATATATAGGAAAATTCTTTAAAAATCTTCTTCGCAAGAATAGCAAAGCCATAATTGATCATATTTATATGGAAGCATCCTCAGGTAGTGTAGATTCAAGTTTGTTCAAATCATGACCCCTGGGGGTAGGGCGGCGCCAAAATGGCCGACCAAAGTTTTACATAGAAATATATGGGAAAATTTTTTAAAAATCTTCTTCTCAAGAATAGCAAAGCCATAATTGATCATATTTATATGGAAGCATCCTCAGGTAGTGTAGATTCAAGTTTGTTCAAATCATGACCCCCGGGGGTAGGGCGGGGCCAAAATGGCCGACCAAAGTTTTACATAGAAAATTATAGGAAAATTCTTAAGAAAATCTTCTTCTCAAGAATAGCAAAGCCATAATTGATCATATTTATATGGAAGCATCCTCAGGTAGTGTAGATTCAAGTTTGTTCAAATCATGACCCCCGGGGGGAGGGCGGGGCCAAAATGGCCGACCAAAGTTTTACATAGAAATATATGGGAAAATTCTTTAAAAATCTTCTTCTCAAGAATAGCAAAGCCATAATTGATCATATTTATATGGAAGCATCCTCTGGTAGTGTAGATTCAAGTTTGTTCAAATCATGACCCCGGGGGGTAGGGTGGGGCCAAAATGGCCGACCAAAGTTTTACATAGAAATATATAGGAAAATTCTTTAAAAATCATCTTCTGAAGAATAGCAAAGCCATAATTGATCATATTTATATGGAAGCATCCTCAGGTAGTGTAGATTCAAGTTTGTTCAAATCATGACCCTCGGGGGGAGGGTGGGGCCAAAATGGCCGACCAAAGTTTTACATAGAAATATATGGGAAAATTCTTTAAAAATCATCTTCTCAAGAATAGCAAAGCCATGACAGGTCATGAGACTACTTTTGGATTTAAACTTTTCAATAATAATCCAATTTCTACTTTTTTCTAGCCACAGTGCTCAGGTGAGGGATGTGGCCCATGGGCCTCTTGTTCTCAGGATATGACTGAGATTCACTACATTTAAGACTGATAAAGGGGGAGTTGTTGATTTTCCCATGCACTTTAAAATATACATAATTACATCATATAGTTGATTTAGAACAAAATTAAATACGTAAAATTTTGAGTGTACACTAGAAATAGTAAATGTAGGTGTGTCTGAAAATTATGAATGAATCGCTCAGTTGCGTATTTTTAAAAAAATTGTGTTTTTCTCAAAGCTCTCCATTCATCATGCTGCCAGCATGACATCTGTTCTAGAAGTGAATAAAAATAATCCCTGTCTCTGGCTATTAATAAAATTTGAGGATGAAGTTTGTTGATGATGCTGTCTGTTTTCAGGTATGGATTACATTGAGCCGGACCCCCCAGTCAAAGGTCGTGGGACACTGATTAAACAAGACTCCGTACCCCAGGAGCCAGCCCCAGCCCCACCCATTCCACCACCCCCTGTCATGAGAAACAGGCAGTAGGAAAATTTTATATAATACCAGGGTTCTAACATCAATAAAAAGCAAAGAGATATTTTATGATATATTTTAAATTCTTTTCTGATATACTAGAACATTATTTCCCCTTTATATATTTATGAAATGCAGTGCTTATACAACACATTAGAGTGATATGTCAAAGGATTGGATGGTCATGTTTTAGTTGAAACATGTAGGGAATTTCCTTAAATAACAGTTTATGGCTTAATAAATAGTATTTTAAATTTAAGTGAATCTGTCAGGTTAACCACACAGCCTCTGGAAGTACTTCTTTTGTAGTCATACATATGAAAATAACAGTAAAATAACAGGGATTTATTATATTTTTGTAGGAAAGAGCCCCTGGAAAAAAGGCCCTCATCAGGGTATGCAGGATTTAAAGAGACCCCACAGAACTCCGTCACGGCTCCATTTGATGATCTCCTCATCTACAAACGCCACCTAGACATCAAGGAAATCGAAGACGACATAGTGTACATAGATATGGTAAGTACATGTATACTGTAAATCACTTTTTATTTGCGAGAACTTTATTTTTGCGCAATTACGCGATGCGGTACAAAAATTTTCATAATAGAATTCCTTAAGATTATATAAAGCAATGACCACATTTTGTCTCGCTAATAGAGATTCAATGACAAGCTCACGAAAATAAGGTGTAGCGAAAATTAAGTGATCTACAGTATTTTCAAAAACTAAAATATCAAAAATTTTGACTCCATTGGATTACTCGTGAAATACAGAAATTATTTTTCTGATTTTGTTTCCAGAGTGATGACCAACTGTATGGAACGCTGGACAGAAGATTTACGTCTAAGTTTGAGTCGGAACCACTGTATCAATGTTACCATAGAGACAAGGTGACAAAGTCAACACGGCGACATACAGAGATGGTAGTCAGTGAGGATGAAGATGAGGAACCAGTTCAAATGACCAGTAGGTACCAGTTTAAGGGAAAATGTTGATACATGTATGGACTTAATAAGAATACTATTATTCTCGATTTAAGATCCAATAAAAACATCTAAACATAGGGCTAAATGTGTAGGACGTATTTTTACCCAACAATTTGAAAAAAAAGAAAAAAGAAGAGACAATATTTATGTGTTACAGAATGTCAGTATACCCAAACTTCTTATGATATTTTATTGATCTTGATGACTATCTGTATGTTGTTTGTACAGAGCCAGATCGTGGGGAGAGGATATATGAGGCAGTAGAAGACATTGATGAGGCTCCGAAGAAGAAGTTGTCTACCCTGGAGATGTTTGGGAAGACTGGCTCTGTGCTCCGGGCTCTCTGGGCAGAAATGCCTGAGGTACATAACCACTGTATCATTATGTAGATGATGAGGAAGAGGTATCACTTCCTGAGAGGGTATTAAACTGTGGAGTAGGAATTTGTTGGAAGAATTTATCCAAATTATAGGATAAAAAGGGCATTGTCCTGCAGATTGAAAAAATGTTATTTTTACTAGGTCATTGTACTAAATGACTCATAGGGAATATAAATAAGAGCATTTTTGGTAAATAGTTTAAAAGAGTTGAAAGAGAACTGAACTACAGAATTTTAAAATGGTGTGTTACTTAATTTAAAACATGTGGCTCTTTGAAATTAAGCATCATTGATGGCAGATGAATCAAATAAATGCTACATTTGATTTTAAAAAGAATATCCTATTAAAAGAGTATATTTTTATCAGGTGAAAGAAAGTGGAGTTTTGGAGAAAGTTTCACCACATGAAAGGAAGATCCAAGAGGTAAACACACACGTGACATGATTTTCGAAAAAAAAAATGAGAATCTAAAAGTCAAATCTATTAAAGTCTCCTGTAAGCAAAAATAACCAAATTGATTGTATTTTCCAGGCAATGTTTGAGATTATCACATCGGAGGCTTCCTACCTGAAGAGTTTAAACGTCTTGATTGATGTCTTCCTCATGTCCCCAGAATTCTCTTCTGAACACTCTGATCGGTGTGTGATCACCAGACAGGAACGTCATGTGCTTTTCTCAAACATCGGTTCTGTCAGGGACACCAGTGAAAAGTAAGGCTTATCAGTGAACTTTACAATTAGTCACAGAAGATTTTTATGTGTGATTTTTAAAAAAAATTATTGTTAATCTTATTTATAAGGTGATTATCTCGTTTTTTTTGTTTTTTTTGTATATAGTAGTACATGTAATACGTGTACATAATACTTTGCGAGTAATGACATATAGGATGTATAATAGATAAAAGTTTTATAAATGAATGATTATTGAATGTATATTAATTCCATATTTCTTTGTTTTCTGTAGTTTCCTTTGTGACTTGGAGGCCAGTTGGCAGAAGTCTGTCTTTCTGTCGGATCTCTGTGATATTATTTATAAACACGCCGCTAACAAGTTTGAGTGCTATATTCGGTATTGTACCAACCAGACATTCCAAGAGAGGGCCACACAGGAACTCCAGTAAGATTTTAACAACAGATTTTATCATTTCACAAGTAGAAGTACAGTAGCTTACCATGCATTTATCTCAGAAAATCAAATCAAATGCTGTAGGAAATTTTTATATAGTTTGATATTTTTTGAAGAAAACACTATCAGATCAACATTAAGAACACTTAATAACAAACCTTTGTCTCTGGTGAATTTGAATTGAGCGATTTACAGTGTATGAATGTCGTCCTCTTAACTGTTCACATTTTTGTTCTGTAACAGAAAGCGACCAGAAACATCGGAGGTGATCAAGCGCCTGGAGAGAAACCCGTCGTGTCAGGGTCTCCCTATGATCTCCTTCCTCCTGCTCCCAATGCAGAGGATCACGCGGCTCCCCCTACTGGTGGACGCCATCTGTCACAGGCTAGATCCTGACACACCCAAACACAAGTCAGCATGTAAAGCTCTGGACGCTCTTAATAAGGTGGGAAACTTCTCCTTCTGAAATGTTACATCCTTAAAATTTATTGATATTGGTTTTTGAATAATGTACTGCCCACTGTACTTAGATGAAAAAAGTTTATTTTAGTGACATACCGGTATTTATTTGTTACTTGTAGGTTGTCAAAAAATGTAATGATGGAGCTAAACGTATGCAGCAAACTGAACAAATGTGCCATCTCGCTCGTAACTTGGAGTTCAAAGTTAAAGTAAGAATTGTCAGATTAAAAGATTTTCTACTACATGTAATAATAAATTTTGATTTAAGTAAAAAAAAATTTGATTCATAGATAATTTTTTTTTCTTCATTGTTAAAAAGAAAATATAGCTTATGTGCTATGTACTGTAATTTTTCATTTTCTATTGAATAAAAAAATCAAAATATAAAATCTGTTTTTGCAGGAAATTCCACTTATCTCAGCGTCTCGTTTTCTGGTGAAGCAAGGGGAGTTAACTCGTATTGTAACAGATTCAACAAGTCGAATTCCCTTTGGAAAGAGAGCTTCCAGCAAACAGCCCGTGTACATCTACTTGTTTAACGATTTATTGATTGTCAGTAAACGGAAAAAGTAAGTTTTCTGGATCAAGATTTGATAGAAAAATTTTATGAAAATGCATAAAGAATTATACATTGTTCAATGCAAAAAAAATTTAAGAAATGATCTCTGCTGAATTTGCAAAATTACACAACTGTGTAGGTTCTTCATGAAAAGTAGGGACCAGTCATGTCTTACAAAAAAAGGTTGAAATGAAAACGAGGAACTGCCTTATAAATATTTAGGCTTTTACTGAACATGATAGCCATATATCGATCCTGGATTTAAGTAAGAAAGTTCAGGGTAATATGTATTATGGGTGTTAAAATTATAAAATACAAAAGTACATGTTAGACTTTCATGCCCAGAGGTAGGGGGTTTTGGAATGACAAGGAGTTGGTTTTTCATTCCATTTTTGAAAAAAGTGTACATATTGTGAATTCCAACCTGATTGATTGACATTACAGATGTAGAAGTTCGTATTCCTTCACCCCTCAGAATATATCCGCATTGTTGTGAGTAGTGTCCCCTGGCATGGTCTGGTCCCCAACATCAAAGGGGGACAACTCTGCCTTTCTGTCTAATGATGAACTCTGTTTGAATTCTCAATCTTTTCTATACATAATAATAATGGTGTTCATACTTTATTTCGGATCCTAAACATTGAAGAAGCTGTGTGCTTATTGCAACATTCAAATTTCAGTCTTTCTGGTTATTCAAAGTCTTATAAATCCTCTTAAAAATAGGACTCAAGATCTAACATGCCTACTTTGAAGAATCATTTAATATGACTGCATGTTACTGTGCATGTATCAATGCTCTCTGAAAAATGCATGACTATTTCAAAACAACAAGATTTAAAGATGTTGCCTTTTTAATGTACCGGTATGAATTATTTTTCTCTACATATGAAATGCTGTGAAATTAGTTTATTTGAAGTAAAAGATTTCTGATCTGTCTAAATGGTGACTGTTGATGTTTTAGTACCAGTATGTATCATATTATTGAGAAATACATGTGTATCAATGATTACCGGTAGTTCATTTTGTTTGCAGACATTTTCTTGACCATTTCAGACTGATTTTTTTTTATCAATTTAAAAGTGGAGTATTGATACTAGTAAAAAAAAATTTTACATTTCTATAATGTGAAAGTTTGAACAGTGCTAACTTTTTCTGATTTGACTTTTGCAGTAACAATACCTATGTGGTGACAGACTATGCTAAGAGGAATGCCCTTCATGTGGAGAATATTGATACCCCAGAGAAAGCCAAACTTTTACCAAATAGTGTCCCTAGTGGTATGAAGAATCTATTTATAGTAGCTCTGCTGGAGAACCACGAACAGCGACAGGTGGAGTTGGTCCTCAGCTGTAAATCTCCGTAAGTACAGTCCTCCCTCCCCCACTCTGCAGCCCCCATCCCTAAATCTTAGTAATTATCTAGCTATCAATAAGTAAATGGTAGTATATTTATCTTAGGAAATGGGTGTATGTTCTGACTAATCTTAAAATTCATTTGGAACAAATCACCGATTCCCTGAATCCCTGAGCGTTGATTACTTAAATGAGCATGCATTTTGTGCTGCGATTAAACAAAATATTTGAGCTTTTTTCATTTTTTTTTGACAAAAACCCTTAAACTTTCAGTAGAAAAATAAAGGGCTTCATATTTACATTTATACAAAATGAAAAGTACCAGTAGTTAATAGAAATATTTCAAGATAATGAATTTATAATTTCATTTGGTTATATCTAAATACCTAAAATACATATTTAAAAATCTAAGGACATAAAATACATTTTTAAAGCTATCTGAAAATGTATGCTGAGGGCAGCTAAATTTGACTCTATGACTGATTTTTACAGGAGTGACAGAACGCGATGGATTGATGCTCTCTCACCCACGGCCAAAGAATCTGACAGCGAGAAAATTTATGAGGAGTGGGGTATGTGTCATCTTGATCACTCTGTGCTCTCATTGAACATTTAAAATTGATATGTCTTTAGAAACCAGGGGGTTTTTTTTAAATCATTTTATAAGCATATCTTAAAAACTCAGTAACTTTCTTCGAAAATTTAATAGAAAAATAAGCTTATGGCAAAGTGTCATGGACAGACAATTTTGATTTATTGTAAATAATCATAATTCTTTATAATCCATTAAGTTTTTAATACATTATAAAACTATGGGGAATGAAAATTCTTTTGCTAAAAGCATAGATTGATTTATTTACAACAAGCTTGTTCGCTATATACATTTTTACTGCTAGATGTTAAACAGATTTACCATTGTACATTAATAAAGTAAGTACAGTAGTTTTGATGAACAAAACTTTTGTCATTGGTAACATTTTAATGACCAACTTTGCTGATGTATGATGTATTAGAGAGTGATTTGTGGTTGATATGTCTTCCTGCTAGGGCCTTGTCAGATGGTATGTAATGCTTGATCGATGCTTCCCTGACCCTTGACCCCGCTTGATTCGACCACAATGACCACACCCTTGTCCCGAATTTGACCCAGACATATAGTTAATAGTTATATATGTAGTCATTAATCATCTGTATATGATTGACAACCTACTGAATGGGTCGATTATTTCAGAATAGGACTCCATGATTTGCATGACTAGTTTTTAAAGAAGATATAATTATTACGACCATTTTTAGACGGGGTCATGTGACCCCGTCTATTAGTTTACTGTCAGAGCCCTCAAAACGGAAGCCGCGGTGATAACACATGAATCAAATCTACGCTATATGAAAGAGTGCAGAAATTGTTTTGATCAAAATATAAAATTCTGTATCAAACTGAAGAAAGTGGTGTGCACTTTTTTCTAAATCAAATGAATGCAGCATTTTGTAAATGTAAACTCAATTTATCAATTGTAAAACACACTAGTAAACAAAGTACTCTCGTGCGCAGTACTGCGACTGCGTACGCATCATCCATTGTTTACTTCCGGAAAAATATTAATTCGGACCAGGTAAATTCGGACAGTTCAAAAAGGTTTATAAACTTAGCAATTATTAAAATTTCTACCACAAATTAAATGAAAAATGCTAATTCATTTTATTCACAGTTTTATTTATTTTTAGTAAGTTAATTGAAAAAAAAATATTAAAACTCGTTAAAAAATTACATTTGTGAAATCTAGCATGAAAATTACTATGACCCCGTCTTTCAGTACTGTCTCAGTACTTTGATTAGGTTTAGGACAGAAATTACTATCCATATAAAAGGTTAATCTTACACACACTGATTCATATGACAGTTTTTAAAATGATGCAAGCTATTGCAGTCCTTCAATGCATTTCAAATGATTTACTTGTTCAAGCTTTTGCTTATGATGTGTATTGTCCAATAGAATTCACCTGCATTTGAAAATATATGATATATACCCTTTCTGTTTTAAAACAAGTGAAATGTTTTAACAGTTTGGCTGTGTAATATATTGCCAGAGGTTATGTCATTAATCACCTCTATATAACTTTATTCTTTGTTCTCCCCAGATTGTCCACAGGTGCAGTGTATAAAGCGATTCAATGCCACAGAACCTGACGAGTTAGGGCTGGAGGAGTCGGATGTCGTCAATGTCTTCAAGAAAATGGGTGATGGTAGGTAGAAAGTGGGATCGTTTGATGGGAGATACCTGTATTGTAGCACAGTTATAATTTGACATCTCAAACAGTATCTTGAATACCATGGATAAATGTTGAACTGATTTTGAAGTCTCAACCACTTACTGTAAATGTATTACATTTGGCGTGTACGATATTTGGCGGAAATTCAATTTTCAACAAGTTAGCGTAGCTTTGATTTAGCGCTGTCTGAATGCGCTAGTATATAAATGGTGCCTGTTTTGGAGGGTAACAGTTGAAATTGACACCCCAAGGAAAACCATTGTCAACCGACGTGTCAGCGGAGGTTGACAATGGTTTTCCGAGGGGTGTCAATTTCAACTGTTACCCTCCAAAACAGGCACCATTTATTTTATTATACTGAATGTCTTCTTGATTTAGGATGTCAGGAAAAAAAAATCGTCGATCGTCTTTACGTTCACGTTTAGAAAGGTTTCAAACTCAACGCTACTTCGAAAAAGATTTACTGACCTTTTTATTGTTTATTTGATACTCTAAGAGTCCTTTATCATCTAAAGTTTCATTATTTCTGCACTCGCAAGCATGTTTCATCTGTCGTTTGTTGTTTTCAAGTAAGCTAGATCGGACGCAAGCTTTATTGACGTCAAGTTTATTCCGGTTCTTTCAAACACACAACTGACATTATTGATATAATTGTTAATATACAAGACATTTAGGATGAACCGTACGCGCATAATTTCCACGCATGTGACATTTTTTCGTTGTGTTACCCGTTGTCAAAGGATATACTGTTCTCTCTATTGAAGCCAACAGTATGTTTTTTAACATTATATTTATTTGCTAAGGCTGAGGGTAGTAGAACGGATTGTTAACTGGGTCTAAACCAATCAGATTTTAGTATTTAACATGAAAGTATAATAAATATAATTGTTAATATACAAGACATTTAGTGATGTACTTGTTCAATCATGAGGGGGAAGGGTGGGGCCACAATGGGGAATCAAAGTTTTATATAGAAATATAAAGGAAAAATCTTCTCAAGAACCACTGGGCCAGAAAAGCTGAAACTTATGTGGAAGCATCCTGGTATAGTGTAGATTCTAAATTGTTCACATCAATACCCCCGGGAGAAGGGCTGGGGAATCCAAGTTTTACATAGAAATATATAGGAAAAATCTTTCTTCCGCCAAAATATATAGGAAAAATCGCTTCTTCTCAAATAGAATACAGCGCTAAATGTAATACATTTACAGTATTCTTAATGTATTTCACTTGGATATCTGGAATCTTGGGATATTTTGAAGTTTTTTCTTGGTCCCATTGAGTTTGAGATAACAAGATTTGACTATATTTTGTATGTTCAAAGGATATACTGTTCTCTCTATTGAAGCCAACAGTCTCTCTTATAAAGCATAACATTTTTAACATTATATTTATTTGATTTTCCCTCTGTTTCAAATACTGGAGAATATTTTTTCCTCCTTCCAGATAGATTTTTTGTAAACAACAATTATTTATCAGTAATATATTTTTCTTTGTGACTGCTAGGTTGGTATGAAGGGGAGAGGATCCGAGATGGGGAGAAGGGCTGGTTTCCTTCCGATCACACCGAGGAGATCATGAACTCACATGTGAGATCAAGAAATCTCAGACTGAGATATCGTCTCATGTTAGCCTCCTCACAGGAATATAGCAATGCTAGTGTTCAGGGTGGAATGATCAAAACATGAGAACTTTAATGTGTGTATGGAAGACATTCACAGCCATAACAGGGATGGTTCAGGATATGTGAGAGTGGTACCCTGATACATGTATATCAAGGTGTAATTCATGACAAAATCATGTTCTACAACACATCATTTTGTGGATGAAGCAATGATATGCTGACTTCAATATTCTGTGATTTTGCAAACTTATGGTGCTTATGGGCTTTTTTATGTGAGAGAATGTACAAATTGTGCTTGTTTTGTATTTACATTTTTTACTTTTCATGGATAATGAATATCTTAAAAACTGATTCACCATAATATAGACAGCATCACAAGAAGTGCTTGTCTACAACCAAAAAGCCAAAGAGTGATTTGCCTTCGTTAACATTCATAATGACAGTAGGCCAAGAAAAGCCACAGAACCAGTTTCACAAATAATATGTTGGACCTAATGTCCTCTGGTCTGAAAGACCACAGTGTGTATGTTGTGCTGTATAAGTGATCGGTCAAATTGTTTTGCCAAATTATTTGATAATCTGGGAAGAGCGAGTTTTATAAATTGATTCATTCAGAACTTTTTGTATTTTTACTGTTGTATACTCAAATTCTTGAGGAGAGATTCAGACTTGCTCATAACCTCATACTAAAGTGATTGTGTACTTTGACAAGTACTCACTGGTTTTCATTGTAATATAGCACAAGTAGCTAGCTATAGATAGATAAGTCATAATTTGTTTATAATTTTTGTTTTGTCACTTTTGGGTTTACATTCCGTGTATTGGGCTATGAACTAAAGAGAGATTTCCCTAGTCATAATCAGTTTGATTTGCAGATTAATGCTGTATTTGATGATGAAATGTATGCAGGCTTTTTACCTTAATCAAGACTGTTTTATCTTCATTACCCCCTGTTTATCTTTGTAAAATGCCGATTTGTTTTTTTATGGGGGTAAATATTTTGTACACAAATACATTGACCAATCATCAATGTGATCACATGATGGTGCTTTTTATCACATCCATCAAGTTCATTCATTTTAGAGAAACAGATTTTAGAATAAGTCATATCTTTTCACCCCATTTATCTCAAATATCATGTTCTGTTTTATATTATGTTTGTTTTCGTGTCAGTAATTCAAGATTTATGAAAAACATATTCACTCTGTGTCTGATTGTTCTTATATCAGTGTAATTATTTTTTGAGTAATATCAGACTGGAACTAATTTACAGGCAATATTCTATTTTATGTAAAGCTTTTATTTCTTATAACATATGGTATTATATATGTACTCAACACCTGTTCTTATCTTTTTTGAATGACAGGAAATAAAGTTATGAAATATAATTATGAACTGCATATTTTCTTTCTTTTTTTTTATGCCCCTGCTTTGATACATATTTTTGATATGTTGATTAAATTTTTTCTTATTTTTTGGCTATGTTATATAAAGGGTGTTAAGAAAGTTCGTTTCATGATGAAATATTTTTAAAAATTTCAAAGTAGTGCTTAACTTAGTTAAGAGATGAATTTTCAAGTATGACAAAATCCAAGACTGGGCTTTAGATTTATAGCAATTCAGTTCTAACAGGAAGTTATAGGATTTGTCTACCATATATGAAAATATATATAACATCTTTCAAGCACCCGAATGTTAGAAATGCTGGTCATTTTGAGTGAAAATATAGGATAATTATTAAATTTTATTTTTCATTCTTCATAGCTTATCTCGCATAAGACAAGCTGATGAGCGTAGGTATAAGAATGATAAATCATTTTTTAAAAGAATAGGTTTGTCATCTTGAAATTTTTCACCGACTTGATAATTTTTGCATAGTATTTGAAAGGATGTTTTGACCTGTGTGCTAAATATATGTCATAAATATGCGTCGTCCAGAATTTTTCTACACAGATATCATCCGTTTTAATTAATACCTGCCCTCCCCTTATTGATTCAACAAATGACAGTTAAAATCAATGGACTCTGTAATAAACATGAAATATCACAAATTGTAAATATCTTCTCATCGTATTTCTTTTTGAAAATAAAAGAAAATGTGGAATGAACTTTCTTAACACCCTTTATAATGAGCTGATTTCTGATAATTTATTTGATATTCATGATTAACCCTTATTAGGTCACCTGAGTCACTCAGGTGACCTATTGCTATCTGTTTTTGTCCGTCGTATGTCGTTCGTCGTCAATCGGTCGTAAACTTTTGAACATTTTCAGCTTCTTCTCTGCAACCACTGAACCAATTTCAACCAAATTTGGCACAAAGCATCTATGGGTGAAGGGGAACAAAAATTGTGAATTTCATGATCCCTGCCCCCCTGGGGCCTGGGGGGTGGGGCCAAAACCACTAAAATTAATGCAATCTTCAAAAATCTTCTTTACTCCTGGACATCAAGCAGTCAAACTGTTTGCATGATTGCAATCAGCATTGAGTCCTTTACCAAAATTGTGAAATTCATGGCCCTGGGGTCAGGGGTTCTTGTACTAGGGCGGGGCTAAATAAGTATATAGTGAAAATGCATTATTTCTTTGAAAATCTTCTTCTCTGCTCCTGGGTATTAAATAAACTAACTAAGTACATAGTTATGATGAGCAAGAGTGCCTCTACCAAAATTGTGAATTTTATGGCCCCAGGGTCAGGGGTTCTGGTGTCAGGGCGGGGCTCTATTGATTATATAGAGGAAATACATGAATTCTTTGAAAATCTTCTTCTTTACTCCTGGGTATTAAATAAACTAACTAAGTATATAGTTATGATGAGCAAGAGTGCCTCTACCAAAATTGTGAATTTTATGGCCCCAGGGTCAGGGGTTCTGGTCTTAGGGTGGGGCTCTATTGATTATATAGTGAAAATACTTGAATTCTTTGAAAATCTTCTTCTCTGCTCCTAGGTTTTATATAAACTAACTAAGTACATAGTAATGATGAGCAAGAGTGTGACTACCAAAATTGTGAATTTTATGGCCCCAGGGTCAGGGGTTCTGGTGTCAGGGTGGGGCTCTATTGATTATATAGAGGAAATACATGAATTCTTTGAAAATCTTCTTCTTTACTCCTGGGTATTAAATAAACTAACTAAGTACATAGTAATGATGAGCAAGAGTGTGACTACCAAAATTGTGAATTTTATGGCCCCAAGGTCAGGGGTTCTGGTGTCAGGGTGGGGCTCTATTGATTATATAGAGGAAATACATGAATTCTTTGAAAATCTTCTTCTTTACTCCTGGGTATTAAATAAACTAACTAAGTACATAGTTATGATGAACAAGAGTGCCTCTGCCAAAATTGTGAATTTTATGGCCCCAGGGTCAGGGATTCTGGTGTTAGGGTGGGGCTGTATTGATTATACATGTATAGTGAAAAAACATTAAATCTTTGAATATTTTCTTCTTTGCTCCTAGGTTTTAAGCAGATGAATTACCTATATAGTTATGAGCAATCCCTAATCTTCAAGAATTGTAAATTTCAAGGCCCCAGGGTCAGTTGTACCATAGTGGGGGGGGGGGCTGTACTTATGTACTGAAAATGAATGAATTGTTTGAAATGTGCTCCTTGGTATTAATCAAATATTTTTGAAAAGCAAGTATGCCTTTCCAAAAATAGTGCAATGTGTGGATCTAGGCCTAAGAGTCGAGGGTTCATGTGTGGTAGCGGCACTACTGATTATTGCTGAATATTACTGATTAGTTGAAATGCATTTTTTGTTCCCCTACCCTGCCTATGGGTAAAAAGTAACAAACTAAGGAACTGCTAAGTGTATAGTTATGATGACCAGATTGTAAATGCTATAGCATCTGGCTTAAAACATGGATCAAATTCAGTCACTGGGAAGTTGTTGAATAATGCTCAGGTGACCTATAAGGCCCAGGGGCCTCTTGTTCAAGTTTCATGTTTATTTATACATATTTTAGTATTTTACAAAGGATATACTGGTAAACATCTTATTCCAGATATTAAAAGCAACAGTATAATAATAATAATACAGTGAAACTTGTCTAATATATTTCAAAATCTTGTCAAATATAGTGTTAAGTTCTATCAGTCCTTCTCAGCGATTTCAGTTGTTTAAATCGTTCTTTAAGGCGAATGTTACATGTATTAATTTATACAAACTAGCCAATTTCTTTGGAACCAGTGGTGAATTATAGATTATAAGTTTAAACAAAAAACATTGCAATGCAAAACTGTTCTTAACAAAGAAAATAATAATTATAGAATATGTGCTGGTCTCTGACAGTGAAATAAGTAGAATTTCCATTTTCTGTCATACACACTATATAAAAATCTTTGACACCAAAAGCAATGCAACCAAGTTTTATCTCCTTTAACTCTATCTGAAGATATTAGAATTTTTTCTGTTGAGATATTTTAATATATTTTGCAAATGACACATGTTTAAGCTTTGTGTTTCTCATACCAGCTGTGCGAGTTGTGTAAGTCTATACATTGCACACTAATGAGTTCTAATATTGTAGAGTAGTTTTATGCTGTTAGAGTGATCTGCCCTTAGAAGTGGGATTAGAAAAATAGTTATTTACAGTTAATTACACAATTTTTCATAGACTAAAATGTATCAGCCAAGAATATGTAATTGAATTCATAATTTCCATTAATTTTCTCAATTGAAGTAAACAACACTTTCTGTTCATGCATAGTCCATTATCTTTGAACATTTTTCTTGCAAAATTAAGACATGTATCCTATGATGAAAATGGATTAAAACTCTTAATGTGCACACCTTTATATGATATACTTTTTTTTCCAAGCACCCAAAACACTTTTTGTTTATGTTTAGAGCTTCCTTAATGGGTCACTAATAATTAAATATATAAAGGCAGAATGGAGAGAAAAAAAATGAAGCTAAGGTTTATAACATCCAAAAGCGGATCGCTTATTGTTTTGTTATAATATTCTACCTATCAATGTAAAAAAGGATCTATGTTTCCAAGGGGTCCCAAGCCTGAAGGAAATGTCATATAATGTTAAAAACTTTAGTCCCGTAGAATTTTTGTCCCCCGCTTGAAAAGTGGGGGATATTAATTTGGGTCTGTCCGTCCGTCCGTCTTTCTGTCTGTCTGTAACGCTTTCGTTTCCACACGATATCTGGAGAACCCTTTGAGCTTTTGCAATGAAATTTTGCAAATCATCTCCCTATGAACTAAAGAAGAACCCTATTGATTTTGAGGTCCAAAGATCAAGGTCATAAATGTGCAAATTCTGTCTGTTATAACACTTTCGTTTCCGCACGATATCTTGAGAACCCTTTGAGCTTTTGCAATGAAATTTTACATAACAACACCCTGTGGGTTAAGATTTTGAGGTCAAAAGGTCAAAGTTCAAATTCATAAATTTATACATTCTCTCTATGTGTAACACTATCCTTTTCGGGCGATATTTCAAGAAGATTTTGAGCTTTTGCAATGTAATTGTATACCAAAACTCCCTAGGATCTATCTCATCCCTCTCAAAGTGTCCCGCCCCGTTTGTTCTATTAGTATTTATTGTATTACATGTCGCTATTTTTAGCACAGGGGCATGAGGAGAGTTATTACATAAAAAACAGGTTCTCGGCGGACTTTATATTCTTATTACATCTATTAGAACTGTTTAATAAAGTTTAAATTAGACACCATGCATTGTGTATAAAATTTTGACAATATCGAACGTAAATATGTACATGTATGTGACTTCATCCTTGCATATAATTTTCGGTAATTGAAAGCGGTTTCTGGTCTAGTGGTATGTCTCTCGCTTCGCATGTGAGAAGTCCCGGGTTTGAATCTCGGATGAATTTTCCGAAATAATTTTTTTTTTTACTAAATGATAGTATTCAGCATGTGAAATAAAAAATTTATGAGGTCTGCAGGCACGTAGCAACAGGGGGGGGGGGGGGGGGGCAGGAGAGGCTTTTACTATTGAAAATGTTCATTGAAAGGCTGGTTGCCCCCCCCCCCCCCCCACTTTATACTAAAGTAAAATAATATGAAGGAAATATAGTAATTGTAAGCTTAAAAAATGGATGTTGAAAGGAATTGTTAGTGAAAAAAGTTTGCCTAACCCCCCCCCCTCCCCCCTCGACTTTGGGCAATTTTTTTTTTCTTGTTAACTTTTTCAGGTGAGTAAAAAAAAAAAAAATTCTGTGGCTGGCCCCCCCACTTTCAAAATCGATGCTACGTGCCTGGTCTGGCTTGTACAAACTCATAAAATCATCATTACAGTGTGATAAATATTCCATATAAAAAGAATAAACAATCAAATCTTTATATCCATATTGGCATATTTTATTTCCTTCAGTATACATGTATACATTAAATTTTAGTAATTCTTCAAATTCAGTCAGGGTGATCCGACTCCCCCCCCCCCCTTCCCCGAACTGCGCATGGTTTACTTTTTCCCTAACCGGGTGACACAAATTCTCTGAATTAGCTTGTTTTTTTAATTTTAGTTGTCTAACATGTAAAGGCAGACCACTCTGCATTAAACTAACATACACGTAGAACATAGCTTGCGTTTTTACTGGAGCTTTATTATCTTTTTGATTTTCAGAACCAAAGGGGTGTATATCGTCGCAAACCACGGGCAAAATGCACGATCTCCCATTTTGACCGCGGTTGAATGAGAAGAGAATATTTCGTATTTTTTTCGAAATATTGACCAATACACGTAAAGCATAGTCGGAAAATGAACTTTCTCGCGACCTTTCAATACCCAATCGCAGTTTACGAAATATTTGTTGAACATGACGTCACAGCATAGAGGCAAAAATATATATTCTAATTTACGATAATTTAATTATATGATAAAGCAGCTACAGGTAGGAGAGGGCTATCTCCGAACTCCGAACCTTGGCTTGAGACGACGAGGGGTAGATTACCTTAATGTATACTGGTGTCTCATTATATGATATCGCGGTACTTAATCCTTTTGCATAAAAGGTGTTATTCCAATTTTTTACTTTTAACTTTCATCAAAAATATTCATAAACCAATCTATGGACTAGCTTTTTAGTGTCAAATTATTTCCCAAGCTTGCATCGTTTAAGTTATTGTCTATTTTTAAAACAGGAAGTCTTATTTACCTCCAAAATTGGAGAGTCTCATTGTATCGCGGTATGGGAAAACATGGAAACTTGTAGATGACATGGACCTCAATTTTTATTTTTGAATTTACTATGTAATTCTACAGGAAAAGTAAATAGATATACGAACTTCAGACATTTAAAAGATGAGCTATAGTATAATTTTTACTAGGCTAGAGATTTAATGGTTAAAAATAATAAAACGAAAAGTAAACATTCGGACAACATAAACATATTGTCCATCAATAAAAAAAAGAATAAAGGCTATGTATCTACTTTTTGCGAAATACCGCGATACAACGAAACCCGCGATATAATGAGAATCGAGTATATGTATGATCACTGTATGTACTTTGCTTTGGGACTGAGGTCCCTTTGTTATATATTTGGAGTCAGGCCGCCCGAAATACATTGTTTGGCAACTATTAATGCATTTAAAAAATACATTGATAACAACATCTTATTTAAGCTATTTTGACACCTGCTTATGGAGATATGACTTTTTAGATTTTCTGTATTTTATTATCTATGAGGTTATTTCAAATGCGCTATAGTGATTTCCATACGTAAGGACTATAAAGTTCTCCAAATAAAATCCCTCTTGTTCTCAAGCTAGAAGATTTTGGCAGCTGGAGAGCAGATGCATTTTTAGTTGTCTTAGTAATGCCTCTTTTCTGCAAGTTACATGTTCCTACAAATTTATTTGTAGAGAAAAACAAATCGTGTTATACCTTATTAAAAAAACTTTTTCCAATATAAGTCACTAGGCAAAATATAGTAGGCATGTGTAAACATTTTAAAGTCCAACATAAGAAAAATCGATGTTTGACCGCGGAGTGAGATATTGGACCTTTACGTCACATCATCTGGTGCTCGACAGTGACGGAGTTGACCGAGTTTAACCTCAGTGTTGGTAAAAAATAACATGAGGATGGCTAACACAATATACATGTATGTTAAAAATAATAAACGCCTTACGGTATAAGAAAACATTTATTGACTGTGTTCTCCGGACATCCAAGCGTTGAAGTCAATAAATCTCTTTTGAAATGTATAATAATATTGGACCGTTGAGTGAGATATTTGACCTGTCCATGAGATATTGGACTACTATGACTTTTTTACATCACACGGGACCAGCTTAACAATTATTTCGAAATGAAAGTCAACCAAAGATATTTCAAAATAAAATATAAAGTTTGACAAAAAATTGATGACTTGATCTTTAGCAAAACGCGTTTTGTTGACCTCTGAATCCAAACTGTTTGCTTTCGGCCTACTGGCCTCGACAAAACGCAGGTTGCACAAGAACTAAGTCAGTAAAATTTTTATGTACATGCTACCGGTAGTATATAATTATGTTTTGGGTTTTCATACTTTTTCAATTAGATATTTCTGTTTTGTAGTTCTCTTTAGTCGTTCCTACGATTTTTTCCCATACATTTATGTTTTTAAAAATAAATTAATGTTTCGGGGGGGGGGGGGGGGGGGGGGGGGGGGGGGGGGGGGGGGGGGGGGGGGGTTATTACATTTTTTTAAGCATTTAACAAATACATGTATTTCAGTTCTATGTTTTGGATATATGTAAATAGGACAAACTTGACATTATTTGAAATTTTAAAAAATAAATCGCTTAAAATATCAATATTAAATTAAATTTCACAAGCTACTGTAAAGTTTCATTAAATAAAATTTGGGTTTAACTAAACAAAGCTGACCACGAGTTTCTCAAGAGCGAACCATTTGATGGATGTTATCTATTTATGGCATTTATTGTCATACCTCCTCTGCGGACGCCCAGTTTAAAAGCTCGTAAATTCCATGTGCTGATTATACATTTATGACATGTACCTTAAGGAGGTCTGACCCAAAAGCTCACAATAACACATGGCTGTTTGTTGCATTCAATACACTATACTGACAATTACAAGTAAATAACTATTCAAATTGTTTTTGCATTTTTAATACATGTAGCAGAAAAAAATAAAGTCTCTTTCGTGATCATATTTTGTGTACAAAAATATGATGACATTTCTAGTAACCGTAAATGTTCATGAAATAAAGGGTAAAACTTGATTTTTCATTGCGTATTCTTCTTCTCCATAAGATTAAAATGAATCTTATAAATAACACTTGGATAAGATATAATTTTGGCACGAATTTTATATGAGATGCATGGCCTTTGCTGCAAATCAGTAATGGATTTGGGTGACTTTAATCATCATTATTTCTTTACAACTTTCCTGGTCCACAATTTTATTGCTCTAACATAAAAAAGTTTTATCTTAAAACAATCTATAATCAATAGCCTAGCGAATAAAAACTATACGATATTGCATCTTCCCTGTTTTTAAAGCGTTGATCAAAGTAAAAACAAGACGATTTTTTGTGATTAGTTCAGGCATCAGATACATCATACAAATTATTATGGTAGCTAGCGCCCTCTGTCGGATGACTTTGCTCCGTATCAACGTAGCCGTCATTGTGTTGTTCACGTCTCAGTGTCACTGGAGTCTCGTAGCCAGTGGCGCCCTCATCCGGCAGACTGTAAGGATTAGCACTAGCGAAATGTCGCGTTGGTAGCGAGATCTCGTGATAAGGTTGTTCTTCTTGTGAAATGCAATACTCGTCTGGCACGTCGTATAACTGCAATTTCTTTTCGTTGCTAGCCTCATAGGGTGGCGGCATTTTCTTCTCAAAATCCACAGATTTCATGCACGTTTCCATGTCCACTGTGGGTTTGTATTTTTTGGGTGTAATGTCAGCTGTGTCGTAGTGATTCTCTTGTCGCTCACTTTGGTGACGTAGGCAGTTGATGTTGTTTCTTTGGTTGTCTAGTTCTTCGTATTGCGGAGGAGACTCGCCTATCGTGCTATTTAACACTAAATGTCTGCTTTGGTTTTGGTCGCGTTGAAATGGGTTAAGAGCCCTTATAACATAGGTGACGTTGTCAAAAGTGACGGTGTATTCTTGATTTGGTAACTCTTTTCGTCTGCAATAAAAGTATAATGGTTTGTCATATGACATTTCAGGTTTATTGCAAAATATATGTCATCTCTTCAAGAGAAAGTATACTAAATTCTCAATCTTGATTAGATGTAGCGAGTATACGAGCGAATCTAACATCTAATTTTATAATTTGATTGAGTAAATTCTCCTTATATATTCATGTAATTTGTTTTTTATTGCCCACAGCTAAGTGGAGATCCGTAGAACGCTTCACCCCATCTCATCCCCATGAAGTAATTTTTTTAAGGTTGCTTGTCAGATTTATTTGAAAACTGGCATATCCACTTTTATTTTTGAAGACTTACTGCGTCCTTAAGATTATATGCATGTCTAATCAATTTACATTTGTTATGCCTTTTAGTTGATGTTTAATTAGTGTTTTTGCTGGATAAAATACATATTAGGACATGAGAAGAATCTATAAGACTTACCTTCTTCTGACGACAATCACAGCACAGAGGAAGCCGCCTATAAAGGCCACCAGGAGGAGAGAGACGATGATCCCCGCTATCTCCCCTTTAACACAAACATTAAGGATGAGTACAACTGGCATTGACCTTGTTTTGTTTTAAATTCAAATCAATAGAAATTCTGTTTGAAACTTACCTCCATCTAAGTTCTTATCATCCGGATTCTGTCTTACCGCTGTAAAAAAAAGGACTATAATTTAGTTGATAAACCAGTGGGAAATTATCGTGGAAAAAATAAATGTACATATTTCGGAGGAAATGGCAACGATGGACACAATTGGCTGTAAGCTGAAGAAAATATATGGTTTTCTGCCTGGGATATGAAATCATTGTATAAAATCAGGACAAACTTACTCTGGAATCATTTACATATACTCTGGTATTAATATCATTAACATCTTCTGGTACCATTTACCTACTCTCATATTATTTACGTACTCTGGTATTATTATATTCTTGTATAACTTACGTACTCTGGTATTCTTAACATACCCTTGTATCACTTAAGTACTCTGGTATTAATATCATTAACATTCTCTGGACTCTGGTATTGTTTATATATCCTCTGGTATCATTTACGTAATCTGGTATAATTTACATACTCTAGTATAATTTACATACTCTGGTATTTTTTAACATACTTTGGAATCATGTATGTACTCTGGTACAATTAGCGTACTCTGGTACAATTAGCGTACTCTGGTACAATTAGTATAATTCATAGATATATAATTTACAGAAAGAATTAATATTACATTGATACGAATAGAAATAGGAATATCCTACCCTGGTATAATTTACAGACATTCTAGAATTATTAACATTGATACGTCGTCTACTGAGTATATAGGAATATCCTACCGGTATTATATAGACAGCTACAGATCTGTAGCTACGAGTACTTATATATGCACAATTTAAAATACGTATTCAATGTATTATGAAACAGTATAAATGTAACATAAATAAACATGGATGTCGGGGGGAAAAAAATCTGTTTTTTGTTTTCGTTCATTGCATGAATTCAGGTTTGCAATATTTTAAAAGATCAAACTATTAGTATATTTAATAAATTTGAAGAAATTATAAAATATAAAGATATATTTGATTAAAATTTTGGGTTTTTTTTTTTACTGTATCCTACATTTATACTTGAAGCGTTTCATTTCTTGACCTGAAGGATAAAGACAGGATGTATTTATAATAATCTAATTATATAACCTCCCAACGTCTTTCTTGACATGCACGCCGTTCTTATTATAAATCAATCCTATATAATCGTATTCCCTTACATGAATGCATGTGTTGATGCATATGATATAATTATAAACTATACTGGCTACAGTTTTAAGGATTAATCATCTTTTCCTATAAGAGACTAAGAATTGCCACACAAGTTCCTATCAACACATGCGACATCTACACACAGTTTTGAATTTCTCATTGACTTACCGGCTTAATATTACCATGTCCCTGTTCTTGAATGACTTAAATATTCAAAGATTAAACAAACAATGCTTTGTCTAACTTTTGAAAGCTTCCAATGTAAAACTAGAGTAGATCAGTGACAATAAATACAGAGTACAGGTGTACCTTTATTTGGTGAAATAATTGCAAAAACAAGAAGAGAACTCAAAAGGTCCATGGGTCACAACGCTTGCCTGCATCAAATTTGGCCTTGCTGTACTACATCATATTTCTATTCCCATAAACAGATATTTTCTTGAAAAAAAAATATTGCAAACATGGGATGTGATTTGAACAAAAATAAATATGATTCTTATTTATTTAATTAACTTTATCTATCGTGGCCCAACCCTACCCTTGGGGAGCATGATGTAAACAATTTATTAAACACTACCTCATCAAGCTAAAAGTATCATCCAAGATCTTAAATACAGTACTTGTGACAAGGATTGTAGATTACCTTGCAAAATTGCTGGGTCCCCAGAATCAGTACTTGTGTTTGGAGGCAAGGACTTTGTGGTTGAAGGGGTGGAGCTTGTTGACGTCAGGGGTGTAGTTGTGGTGGACATCGTTGTTGTAGTGGGCTTTGTAGTTGTGGTGGAAGTGGGCGTGGTCGTTGTTGTGGGCGTGGTCGTCGTTATGGGCGTGGTCGTTGTAGTGGTGGGCGTGGTTGTCGTGGTCGTTGTTGTGGTTGTGGTCGTTGATGTTGTAGTTGTGGCAGGACCCATGTCTGTAACAAAGAAAAACGCAAATTTACAGCTTTACATGTATATCGACAGCCTTTTTTTGTTTCATGCACTCACTTTTTTTCTTCTTGCTTTTAAAATTGGTTAAAATTCGATTTAAAATGTGAAAGATAAAATTCTACAGAAATTAATACGCACAAAATTCGCAGATGAAGGAGTAGGTGTAAGGCGGCAGGCTGCAGTCGTAGTCGTGCCAGCGTCCGTGGTCGTCCAGTCTGAGATTGGCGCAGTCCTCTCCGCAGTAAAACAGGGTGCAGCCTCCTGGCTGGTCCGGGGCCCAGTTGGTGTAGGTTAATGGATATCCTAAAATCAGAGTGGAATGTACTTCAGGCGCGGATCTAGAAAGTTTTAAGGGGACGGTGGAAGGAGGAAGAGGAAAAGAGTTGTTATAACGTACGTTTACATATAGTTAAACATCTTAATAGGATATACAGGGATGTGGTATCATTTTAAAAAGTGGGAAGATCGTCAGCCTGCGAAAATTTATGGACTAACTGAAAGTTTTTGACAAAGAAAGGAAAATAAATCTCGGAACCCTAAAATCCTATTTTGTAAGGGGAAGGGGGGTCATGTTGTTTTCAAAACCAATTTCTACATAAGCCCTTCACTGAACATTTTCTGTAGAAAAACACAACAAAAATTTGGGACTCAATTATTTCTCTTTCTCTTTAGCAAACCAAAGGGGAGGTTGCAACCCCCGTAACCTCTTCTGGATCCGCCACTGTATTTCACGTTGTATTGCAACGCTTAAACAGAACAGAGAATATAAATTTCCCTAATGAAACTCATTTGATGACAGCAAAAAATGTATAGACAGCGGACTCGCTACAAAATGAAATACTGTACGCGTTGCCGAGGTAATACATTGACATACTAGTATGACATACTAGTATATAAAAAACACAAATACAGTAATGCATACGATTTCCTTATATGATTGTCCAACATTTCCTCCTGTTTTTACTATACTTTTTTTGAGAATTTGAAACGGAAATGTTGACTGATCAAACAAGTGATATAATGTCTTATAAAGGATTAAATTCTTTAGTGATTTTACATACATTCTACAATTCAAATACTAGTACATGTAGTTAATTGAATTTTCTGTATGTAAGGAAATTTTGTTTTTCAACGGGAATGGTTATTATTTTTTCCCAACATTACTTTAAAGTATTACTATTGAAAATATTCCTTGAAAGGCTGGTTGCCCCCCCCCCCCTTATAATATAGGGAAAATATAACATTGTATGCAGAAAAAATGGTTACTTAATCTTCAATATATTTCCACATTATCAATATTTAACTATATACGATATTCTCATTGCAACATAAGGGGAAGGTGGGGGTGGGGGCTTCAACGAACATTTCAACATTTAAAAAAATATGCTTGCATGTTTGAAAAAAAAAGTCCCTGGCTAGTTAAACACCACAGTAATGAGATAAAATAGTGTCATGAAGAGAGTATATTTTCATAAGGCTAAATCTTACCTTCCACCCATTTCCAATGACCTTCAGCATCAAGGTCGTGCGCGCCGATCCAAACGCCGTTTCTATTCCAGTTAAGGCTGCGGAGTGACTCCATGACGAATTGCTGGATCTGTGCCGTCCTGATCTGGACCAGCATCCCACCGCGTGACGAGCACGTGTCCCGGGCATGTGTCCAGTACTTCTCCACATTAACGAACTGGTAGCACTTCTCTCCGTAAGTTTTGAGGTATGCATCTCTAGGCAGGTGTGAAGGACATCTATACAATTGGTCGTTGCCACAGCAAACTAAAATTGTAAAACTTAAGTTTATTGCTGAACGTCTGATGAAGCAAGGGACTATGTTTGATTCTGGCGTAAATCTCGTAACAAGAGTCTGCTTCTAATGAAGATATATTTATTGTGTATTCCCGATACTTATAAGCCACAAGATATATTCTAATAAAAGTAAATCAGAATCTGCTGATTTAATTACGATAAGAAATTATTAAATTTATACCTACTTCTAGTGGTTACTTGTCCATACATTCACAAAGTGAATATACAATAGATATATGGCAAAAGCAGAATTTTGTTTTTCAAGATCTTGAGTCTTTCAGCTTTTGCTATGAAATATCCTATGGACCAAGGAAGAAGCTTATTGACTGTGAGGTCAAAAGGTCAAGGGTTAGTGTCATAAATTTAAAAAATATGTCTGTTGTAACATTCTCGTTTCCGCGCTGTATCTCGAGAAGCCTTTGAGCTTCTGTAGTGAAGAGTTTTATATCTTTCGCGATGTTTTTTTTAACCTTAACTCCCTATATATGGCACCGCTTGCACTTCTTAAAACCCCCTTTCGACTGTCCCTCTTAGATTTACGCATTTTCCCCCGTATATGGGGGACTCAGATTCTCTGCAATAGCTTGTTACATGTGAATTCCTCATTAGGATTCTTTAGACAGAAGTCTAAGTTGTAATCCTCGTAAATTTAAAGGAATTTTAAAATGAGGAAATAGATTCAATGTCATTATCTGAATAAAATAAAAGTATGAATGTAAATGTACATTATAATTGATTTCACTCTTAACCTTTGAAAAATAATAGGGATAAATACTGATATTTTAATTTTCATTTTATTATTTCATGAACGTTCAAATTTTAAATACTTTCATTTAAACAATAAAATGCTTTCTTGGTTATTACTGGAATTAACGGAATCAGCTGTTGCAGAAAAAATACATAACCCGCGTAAGCGGGTTATGTAATTTTTTTCTGCAATAGCTGCGACCGCTAATTCGAGTACTAACAAACAAAGAAAGACATTTTATTGTTTATATTTATAAGATGATAGACGAAAATCAGTAACGATTTATGTGTTGTTTTAGTTAAACTAAATACTATTCTCAACGTAGTAGTAGCTTTTGGTCTCCAAAAGCGTATAAATCAAGATTCAAGATTCTATATAGATAGCGTGTCGTTATCATCTCACAGAGAGTTAAATTCACGACAAAATTCGGCGAATACGTGTTTTTTTCTTTCCTTCTTTATTTGAGCTGTAAATTTACCGAGTAATTGGTGTTTTTACTTAAAAAATGTTAATCCTTTGTTATTCATTCAAACATTCTTAGGGGCTTCATTACAGGGGAAGAGGATTTTGAATGTAAAATGAGTTGGCTACCTTAAATTGTTTTGTTTGGGCTCCTAAATGGTTTTATACGACTATAATTTAGAAAACCATCGTCAAGAAGCAGACCAAGTTGAGCTATTTCTAATTAAGATGGAAGTAATATTTATTGGTACACAGGTATATGTAAAACATAGTACGGGGGGACCCCTCCTGTCCTCTAAATACATTATACTATTGAATATGTTCACTGAAAGACTGGTTGCCATCCCCATTTTTGTTTTAGCATAACTAAATCAAAATAATTTTGATAACGTGTTGATAAAGTTGAAAAAGAAAGCTAGACACCCCCTCCTCGAAACAGAATTCTCCTTATTGTCCACCGCTTTCACAAGTGGAAGATATGAATTTCGGCCTGTCTGTCAGTCCGCCTGTCTAACTTTCCGTGCGAAAGCTTTGAGCTTTTATAATAAAAGTTCACATAGCAATTCCGTATGCCCCCTCCCCCTTATCAAAAACGACGCGGTGTGCCTACTGTTATATCAATATTTATTCAATTCAATCCAGGCTGTTCAGACCAAAAACACGCCACAGTATAAAAAAAACTAATAGTGAAACTATCTGATCAGATGTTTTAATAATTATACAAGTTCGGTGAGTGATTCACATGTACTGCACTGAAGTATAATATTACATCACATGTCAAAAATGTGTCCAGCGTAAAAAATACATTTCAGGTTAAAGGTTTTTGATGTGCTTTGTTTTTGTCTTTGTTTTGTGTTTTAATTTTGAGTTCTTCTGATTTTTATTTAGGGGTGGAGGGGTGGCTAATGGCTCTTTTAACATTGTTTGTTTTCTTCTCAAGACTACTTTGTATGGTTAAAAAGAGAACAAAATGTATTTCACATAAAGTCACCAGACCAAGTGATAGACAGAATGGCCGATATCGACCATCTAGTGTGATTGAATGCCTTTAGCCCTCATTGTCACATTTTGACAGATTTTGTCAATATTTTTGTCACTGACCAATGTACATGCACAATGCTTTCTTCTACACCAGGGATCTAAGACTAAGTCAACGTTTACATGTCGATATTTTCTTTTATACATTTACCTCTTTAGACATCTTTAAATTCACTATTAACAGATTAATTTGTCTAAAAATACAAATGCACCGAGGTACAACATTAACTCCAGCTCGTAAATAAAGCTGCCCTTAGGTGTCGATAAAAATAAGGTAGAACCTTTTATTTCGGCACTTAGAAGTGGGAGAGGGAAACATTCTTTTAAACTGTCATTTACAGAATACAGATCATTATAGATACTGGCAAAACTCGTTCGAAGCATTAAACCCATTCAAAGACCGTTTGTAATTAAACAAATCTGGCTTTTAATTTGATCTTTTTTATGATGATTATACATCTTTAAACAGTTATAACATAGTCTCTGGTTATAAGAAGTATACAGTCATTACAATACAAACAGTCCTCACAATATAATGTCCACTTACCAGTTAGAATGACTGATATAAGCCATATCCTATACATCTTCACGTTCTCTCGCTGTACACTTTCCTCACGCGTTATATACCATACACATTATATACACACATGAGTATGTAAACATAATCCGATTCCGTAGGGGGTCGCTGGGACCACGTGACCCGAGCTTCAGGGTAGAAGGCTGTATGTTTATCGATTGATTTACATAGATCATGTCGATAAATGAATGAATCGCGACATCGTGTGATTTGGAAAAGAAGGAAAATGAACAATAATAACACAAATCTTCAATGAATGGCAGTGATTGCTAAGCTCTAAGGTTGACCAGTCGGTCGACCTTTCATCAATTCATTCTGGTCTTTTGTTCACATCCTTCCAGGCGTGTCAGTTTACATTCAGTAATAACCGAGATTTAAACCCTACCCCCCCCTCCCCCACGCATGCCAAATTTTTGAGTTCTATTTCATCAGTAAATCACGAATATTTAAGTTGTCTGTTTTTTTTTTAAAGCTGTTTAAACAGTTAAAAATCTATTCAGTTTGTCAATTTAAACTCTACACTCTAAGCATACAATACGGACCAGTCTCTCTGTGTTAATGTCAACATCGCCCAAGAACTTCCTCCTCTTGACTCAAAGATGAAGGATGCTCCAAATAATTAAGCTAAAAAAATTTCTCAATCAGTAAATCTAACAAATGATTTAAACAAAACTTATCATTTATAAAAAAAAAACACGTGGCTTGTTGTTCTACACGTCTTATATCCAGATATCTCTTGTGCAGTTTTACCCCCCCCCCCCCCTATTTTTTCTAAACATGAAGAAGTTCCTAATTTGGTAGATACAATGACCTTGTCAGCAAATACAATTCATCAATGAGTGAAATGCTGAATGACATTTTTCATACTAATTGTTAGTCCATAATTTACACAGCATCGGCGACGTTTTTTTTACGTTATTTCCAGAACATGACAAGGAGCACACGGCGGGTGTGATCGGTCGGCATGGGGAGCTCTTTCCTACATGGCACCTGATCCCACCTCTGATGATTTGGAGGTCCGTGTTTGCTCTGTTCCTATATTGTATTGTTTTATGTACTTTTGAGCATGAATGCTATTCGTTATCTACATATATTACAGTTAAAGTAAAAGGGCCTTTTCAAAATTTCTACATGCACTTTATTTATTCATTTTTCTTGTATGTCAAAATAAATGTAATTATACAAATACATTTAAGCAGAGAGAGGGGGGATGCTCCACATTTCAAGTAATTTATCAATATATGGGGAAGGTATTCTGTAAAACCTATTTTTTGCACTGGCTAAAGTAAATGTTAAAATTTTATGATTTTGGTGGAGTCAGAAATTTGTTATCCCATATTTTTGGCAAGTAGATCAAAAGTATACAATGTATTAGTATTACAGTGCTGATTCAAAACGGGGTGGGGGGTCTATGCATCAAAGAATGTTTCCCATATACTCCATGTACACTTTCCCAAGAAAAAAAAATATGAACGGAATATTCTTTTATAAATCTGGGTAGAAAGTTTATATAAATCAATTTTAGTTATGAGGGCCTCTACTATATAGTAAACATTTAGCAGAAGGTTTGTTATGAAGAGAGGGCATTTAAAGGTACATGTATTTTTAATTTTTAAACAAGAGATGTTTGTAAAACACTTATGCCCCCCTCCCCCAAACTGGAATTTTTCCAAGTCCAAGGGGCATAACTCTGTTCAAAAATGGCGTGATTGTACCCAAAACTGAACTTGATTTAGATATTCCTCTTATAAATCTGTATACTTAATTTCATTTCAGTATGGGCAACCTCTGCAACCAAAAAAAAAAAATGAATGGAAACTGCAAATAATTGGAATTTTTCTAGGTGCAAGGGGCATAACTCTGTCGAAAATGGCGCGATCATACCCAAAACAGAACTTGGTCTAGATATTCATCTGATAAATCTGTAAACCAAATTTCATTTCCGTATGTGCAATGGTTGTGAAGAAAATGAATGGAAAGTGGACCGACAGACAGCAGCAAAGTAATATGCCTTCCCTTCTTCGAAAGGGGGGAGTAAAAAATACACAAATACCGCAAAATTAAATAATATTTTTAATGTTGCATAAATAATTAGCAAACATAAAGAAAAAATCTCAAACATTTTAGTAAATAATAACTGGTATAAACTTTGTTAATAGTACAAAACTTAATAATATTGCTGAAATGTATATAATAATTACTGAAAGACACATATAATTTGTAATTAATTGTTACATACCTGAACAGGTAGTGTTTCATTGATGTATTATATCTATACGCTGTAATTAATCGTAGAACTACTGCACTTTTACATGAAAATACATATACATGTAGTCATAAATGGAAATAACAAAAGTCAATGAACTCTATATTTGATAAAAAAAAAAAACAAAAAAAAAAACAAAAAAAAAACACTGTAGTCTAAACTACTAACAACTTCTAAATGTATTAAATATCTGCCTGTCCTTTATCTATTGCACATACATTTACTGAAGTTGTTATACATTACAAAAGAAACAAAGAAGTAGAAATATGGCACTTGTAACATTTGAGTCATGTTCTTACTTTCTTCAATTTACAATGAGTTCATTCTGAGGAAAAAAAGACATTGAAATACCTAAAAAATAAAACATATTAAATATATTGTATGAAAAGCCTATTGTTTACATGTAAATGACAGAAAAACCACAGAGTTCTGTATACAGGTTTATTTTCACCCCATCTAATTTTCGTCTTTTCACACCTGCAAACAATTTTGCCCCATTTTGAAGTTCTGATTATGCAAGAATGTTATTCTCCTTAAATATGCCCCTTTTTAATTTGCAACTGCAACAAGGACAAAAGGAGCATAAAGAGGGGTCGAAAATTTCCATGTATACAGTACTACGAAAATGTTCTATTGTATCAAATGATATACAGCTTAAAGGGGGGGGGGTTGTCAAGAGACAGATAATTACGGAGTTTGATTTCAAATAAACCACTTTACTGTTAATCCTTTGAGATAAATATGCACATCGTACATCTCTAGCCCCTAAATCATCATTTAAATACTTTTGTAGCAATTGTTACTGAACTTAAAGTTGATCAAAACAATAATATATTTTTGCATGCAGCAAAACACAGAAATAATTCTCATTTACCACTGTGGCTAAAGCCAAACTGAACTTGTAAACAATAAAAATATATCAAAACATGTAAGTTTCTTGGGAAAATTTAAGCAATATTAATATACATGTACATGTACCGGTACATGGAAGAGGAATAAAGGTTTTTTTGTAGTAGCTAGGTTTTACGATGTGTTGTCATTTCATACCAAAAAAATACAGCGTCTAACTAACAGATAGAGGTCAAAGTGCACAACAAAAAATGATATGTACAATTGAGATTCACTGATCCACAAAAAAGAAATCCTCAGCCCCTAATTACAAGTATAGAGTGGCTGCTGGGCGTGTAGTCAGGAGTGCAGACCCAGAGTGCAATTTTTTTTTTTTTCAAAGGCAAGTTACTTTCAATTTCAATTTTCCTACACAATTTTATTATACAACTATGTATTGATATTATTTCAAAATAGCTGTGATTTTGTTCTTCATTAAAAAGTGGGGGGGGGGGGGGCACCTAAAGGTCACTACGCCTATGTGACCTAAAGGTCAAGCCGACGTGGAATGTAAAACATAATTAGGACAATGCCCCAGACACAGGGATACTAATCTCCCTGTAGGAAGTACTCATTACAGTTAGTCATTATCTAAAATCAGGTACACAACACAATGACACCTAACTTCATTTTGTTAATATGTATAGTGTGTGGATAGTGTATATATATTTTTTTCTTTTGTAGAAAACAAATATCACAGTAATTCTAAAGCTGAACTATAAAATTACTAAAGGTTTGTATATTTCGACTTAGAAAAAAAAAATCAGTGGTTTTACTAACAATGTTGATCTTTCCATGCATGAAAATATGAATACAAAAGCTTTCTCAAGCAATTTCCTTGTAGAGGTAATGACAAAAGTTCGAAGCATTTAAAATAATGAAATAGACAACCTTGTGTCACAAACACATAGTAAACTTTACAGTCTTTGGCAAAATTAATCATATGAATGTTAAGTAAGGTACTATTAAGAAACCCCTTGAATGTTTATGAATATCTGTGACAAGGCTTTCAATACAAAATGAATTCACTTCAACTGAAATTTGCTACATCACAGCTTGGTATCCATGACAGACCTGGGTCTCTCAATAACTACATTATCCTGTCTAGGGGGCCCCTGATCCCCCGTCCCCACCCCCGTTTTAGAGCCCTCCCCTTTGTGTGCTTGAGCCACAGCAATATGTAAACACTGCACCCACTGTTCAATATTCTGGTGACCTTTGGCCTTGAAGGTGTACGACTGGTCAGCTGTAAATATTTCGAATGCCTTGGGTATATCACGGTAGCCTTTCCTGACTGCCTTTACACTCTGTATCTTACTTACGGGGAGGGTCTCATGTCGCTGTTAAAATAGATCAAATCTTTATAATATAAGCTTAAAATTAAATCTAGGAAAAGTTATGTTTTTTTAACATGTTAAATTTAGATATTCTGAAGAAAATTATTAACTAAGTAAGTATTTTATGAATCATACACATTTTTTCCATTATTCCATTTTATATTAAAAAAAAAAAAAAGAATCATTTTTCTTTTTGCACCTGTGAAGAACCCTTACTGCAGAGAACCTTCAAAATGAATGTAACAAGTTCTAATCATCTAGTCTGTTTCATCCTCTTTTTTATATAAAAAGATTTCCAGACAAGGGAACAGATTTAAAACCTGCCAAACTGTTGATGTAATGTCTATTTATAGTGTAGATAGATTAACTGTTGATGTCATGTCTATTTATAGTGTAGATGGATTTACCTGGTCACTCTTGCTGTAGGTAATCTGTGTCCCAGACAGAGTGAAGTACCTGGTCTTCCATCGTTTCAGGAACTTCCATTTTCCCTTCTTCTCTCTCAGCTGACCCTAAAGAGGAATGACATACAAGTTAACAGACTACACAACATAAGTATTATTGCTCTTCATCATGTCATAAATCGTACTAACTAAAAGGACTTCTCAAATCTCAACTTACCACTTTGACTTGTTAATTATGGTAACAACTAGGACTTGTTATCAAATGACTAGGATTTGTTAACTAACCAATAGGACTTTTTAACTTATCAATAGGATTTTAACAAAGCACTAGTTCTTTTTCATTAACCACTAGGACTTTTTAATTAACCTCTAGGACTTTATAACAAACCACTAGTTCTTTTTAAATTAACCACTAGGACTTTTTAATGTTACCGCTATGACTGGAGAGCCATTCTTCATCAAATCCCACATCTTCTCTGGGTGATTACACATAAAACAAGCCCAGTACTTCTTGGCAGCATTAAACTCAAACACGTCAAAAAAACGGGAACAGTGTAGCTCATGGATCAGAATATCTTGATCCTGGTGAAAAAAAAACATAGTGATGCAACCCCCAAATTCAATCATTCTATTAGTTATATTTCATGTAAGTAATACATATATGTACTTAGTTTCTTACAAAATACCGGTATTGCTAATTTTGCGATGAGTAAAGTATCACAAAATTAATCACCAGGCAAACCATTCTGAAAAGATGTACCAAACTAAAGGCATACTAAACAATCAACCAACACATTTTGAAAAATCTCTATTTTCTGCAAATATAAGCCCCATGCATGCATATGCTTTTTAACATTGAATCACAAAATTTTACTCCATTAAAGGTATCTGGGGATATGCAGTAATTTTAAAAGAAAATGAAGTTTTACTTTGAGGTACTGATTAGCATAATTTTTTATAAGTTTAACATCTTTTTTTTTAATTCCATTTCTGTTTTAAGCATGATGCTATGTAAAATATGGAATATTTTGAATATATAAAAAAGAGTAGGGAATTACAAAACTCTTAACAAATATTAAGATGAGAGTGTATTATACATAGAACTGACTTTTGCTGATGGGAATGAAGAGGTGACAAGAGTTAGGAAACTCCATGTTGATCTGTCTGTCTGTAGTGAGTCCCAGCAGGTCTTGAGTCGACTTATGCTGTAGTCATGCTGACTTAATGCTGATGCTGCTTTGGCCTGAAAGAGACAAGTTATAAATTTACATCTAACTATATTTATGAATTGTGATATTTGACACAAAGTAGATACATTAAATTCTGTGTGGAGATATTTCCTGTTAAACATGTAAATATTTCCATAAAATACTACTCATGCCATCTTCAAAAGAATATTCTCTGTCTTTAACCCAATACAAATATCCCAAGTTGTTATTATGAATACGCGCCTGGGGGCCATAAAACTTAGTTGAGCTCACTTTTGATCTCAGTCTCACTTTTCCAAAATAAATTCCTTTGGTAAAAGTGAGACTGAGATCAAAAGTGAGCTAGTCTATGTTTTATTGCCTCCAGGCCAGATCTCCATTACTGAGACTATAATCTAACCTGCGTAGATAGAAACATAAGGTGGATCCATGTTTTTGGGAGCTTTGTGTCCAGTGTGAAGTAGGATTTGTTATAAATACATTGATCTCCCTTACCACCACAAAGAAAGCTGAGTCTCAGGAATCGCTTGTGACGACCATCTGAAAAATACACATACATATCGACTGTCTACTAATCATCAAAGCATTATAATCTGCTCTAAAAATGGTAGCATTAGTTCCTTATCAATTGAATAAGCATGATCATAATAAAGCAATCTTACTAATAACACTGCAGACTTCTGGAAGAGGAATGCGAGCTGATATGTTCAGGATGAAGTTGCGGATTGTACTGAAATGTTTGTCACAGAAATGCTGTACACCATCACGCATAGACTCAACCTGCAAAAAGTAATAAAAATATATTACAATCTACATGTAAAAATCTCAACATTGTAGTCTTGGAATAGTCTGTTTTTAAAACAGGTCTCATTCATTTGGAATCTACTGACCAAGATCACTGATATCTGAGTACTGGTAGTAATAGAGAATATTAACTAGTATTAAATGGAGAATTGAGTACTCACTGAGGGTCCATGCTGACTACTGACAGAGCTCATCATGGACATTCTGTCTGTGTAGACTGACGCCGGACTGACCGGTCTGTCATAGCGACCTGTAGACAGGCTGGTTCTGTCAGAGTGGAAAAAATAATCAATCCATCACTGGTAACAACAGATGATAAAGCCAAAAGAAGTAGATGGTACACATGCTTAATTTGTGCACAAAACTACCTTATGTGCACTTTGCAATCTCTGTTAAACTAAGCTCATTTGAGTCCTTGGCATGGGAAAACTAAGAGAAGTGGAATTTTAAAATTTGTTTTTTCTTGATTTTTAAGTGAATTTTTAATCTGGATGATTTGACAAGACTCTGTTCATTAGACATATTTTACCTGATTGATTTGCCTAATGTTTGTTTACTAGACATACCTGGACGATTTGCTGAGACTATTCACTAGACATATTTTCCCTGTTTGATTTGCCTACTGTTTGTTTACTGGACATACCTGGAGGATTTGCCAAGACTCTGTTCACTAGACATATTGCTGGAGGGGATATTCATGCGTCGGACTGTGATACCGTTAGGATTGGCCGAGTTTGGGGGGTTCCCTACAGTAATCACTGTCACCGCCCCCTCAGTTTGACTGGATACTGACTTCATCTCCTTGTCCTTATCTATGGCACTAGACCTGTAATAGGGTAAACTCATGTTACATGAAACCATACACCTGTCAATAGCGCCCATTTTTACAAATCTGTGGATTTCTAACCAAGAATATTTATGATGTACCTGAAGAAACAAGAAGCCTATTGGAAAAGTGCTCATCTGAGTCACATTGTTGTCTGAAATGACTCAATATTAAAGGGACCTACTTCACTACTTGTGACGTCAAACTGAGTTATAAGACATTTAGATTGATTATTATAAAAATGTATTAAGTCTTGCAATTTTGTGGCAAGTCTTTATATCCTATACAAAACACTGAAGACGAACTCCATAAATGGAGCAAAAAAAGACATCTATGTGGAGATTCTTATTCCAGAAAGAAAGAATATTTATACATATCCTTTTTACATGTCTCTCTATAAAACAATTATTTTCTGTACATTTCCTGTAAATACATTTATTGAAGCTTCTTTCTTTGTCCCATATGATATATTATTTTTATCCTTTTTTACAAAAGGGAAGTAATTTGAATATGGCCAATAGGATTCAGTACATGTAAGTTATGGAAAGTCTTGCCTCTTTTTATTATCATCCTTCAGCTGTTGTACAAGGATGCGTACAGCACTGGAGCCATTCTGGGAGAGTTTACTGATTTTGTCCATGTTATCGGCCAGTAGTTCTGGGTGATTAATACTCAGGGCCTTAATTTCCTGTAGAATGACTGTCAATACGGCCTGGTCAGTCTGGGTTAGATTGGACACAAAGTAATTCATGCTCAGCTGGGCCTGCTCCTGTCAAAAATAGAATCAAAGGTATAGACCTATCATCAGTATACCTGCCAAAGCAGTTGTCTCAGTGTACTTGTATAATACATATACATGTACTCTGTACTGTAAACCAACTATTATTCACATTATCTTTTATTCATGATTTGTCAGTGTGAAATCGACCTGCAACCATTATTTCTCATGACTGAAGAAACATTCTTTTCATATGCAAAACAAAAAACTTGGGTTGCAGCTATTAATATTTGCGAGTTAAAGTACATCGCGAAACTTGCAGATTTCTTGCACACGAATAATACTTGGTTTACATTATGATATGTATGTCTTTGCTAAAATATCTTATTTTAGGGTTTGTTTTTTTTTTATTTTGTACATTTTTAAAAATGTATGCATATGTAGCTATCTTATCACAACCTTAAGTTTGTTTTAATTTATATATAATTTTTTCTAAGAATTTGTCATTGAAGTAAACGTACATAAACAAGTTTCCTCACAAAAAATTAGGGTACCTTACCAGGCATTTTTCATAAAACCCTTATGGATATATTCTGAATGGGCTTTTTCATAATTTTTGGTGTACTTGTATTTAAAAACATTCAGAAAACAATGTAGAAATAAGAAGAAAATGACAAATACAAATAATTTTTGATATATTACCAAGAATTACAAAAGATTTATTTGAGGAACGTGTCGTCTGACCTTAAAGTACAGGCTTATTTTGTATTTATTGTACCTTATAATATTTATCACAATCTGGAGCTGCTAATTTAAGAGATAAATGACCAAGGGAAATGATATTCCTTACCTCATTAATTGTTCCGACAGCTCCTATGATCTGGATGACATGGATCAGATGAATAGGCTGCTTCTCGGCCGAGGTTTTTAGCACCGACACATAACTGACAAAGGGGATTGGATTGGCTATTGCCATGTCAACAAACATCACCAAAATAAGGGGAGCTAACACTGATGTTGAAAGGTACTCAGACAGCTTAGGAATGTGTGCTTCTAATTTCTACGGAAAAATATATATATAACTAGAAATTTATCCCCAACAACCATCAAGTTTTTCTTGCGTGAAAATTAAACATAATATCATTGTTTATTAATAGAATTAATTGTAGATACAATTGATGCAATTTTATTTTCACTGTGAGCATTTTTAAAGAAATTGGTTTATAGCTATTGCTATTTTCTATTGTGGATGCATCCACTGACACATTCGGTCGAGTACATCCGGTGGCAATTTTAGCTGGCCAGTTGCTAGATGACTTCAAGCTCAAGAGCCATAAAAATATTACTGCACAAAAAGCAATCAGGAATGTTAAATAATTTGTGCATTTTAATTAAACGGCTTAATTCTTTTCAGTGAAAACTTAGTATTTTTATTTTTTAATCATGAATTTATAATCACAACTACAAATGTGTACATTGTATCATACAAAATGTTTAATCATGAAATTGTCAATTGTTAAATAGAATTTTTTACAGAGTTGATCCCTAGAGATTTGCTTGAATTAAATGTTTATTGCCATGCACTGTTCCCATGTGTAGTAAAATTTTTCATTGCACTCGTTCCTAATATTCAATAATGAACATAGATTTTACTTATTTTGTCATACTTTACGAGTAGCTGCAGAACTGTTGCTCTCTGTTTGAGAAAATTCGGACAGATAAAGCAGAGAGCTACAGATCCAAGCATTTTAAACCTTCGATTTACGCCGACAATTTTTGTCGCTCACTTCGGGTATTATTTCTTGTTGTTTATGCTTTCCCTATCTTTTAGAATGGTACACGATAATTAATGGTACATGATAATTAATCATAAATTTAACTCTTATTTTTGATATTTACCTTTTAATGGTCAGAAACAGTCCTGTATATGGTTTTGTAATGTTCGACGTCCGTAACCACAAACGGCCGTTTGTTTGCGTTGAAAGGTAAATAAAATACAGTGGACCCTCATTTATCCGGACGCTTTGGTTCCCAGTCAATTTGTCCGGATATGTGAAGCATCCGGATATCTGAATCACCAGTTAAACAAAACATAATAACATTTTAAAATTTCGTTCCGATGAAAAATCGTCCGGATACTGAAGCATAATGTGTTATTAATTATTAGTTTAATGTGTTATTAATTATTAGATAACATTTATAAAGCTAGAAAAAGTATGAAATACAAGAAATAATATCCGAAGTGAGCGACAAAAAAATTGGTGGTGTAAATTGAAGGTTTTTACAATGCTTGGATCTGTAGCTCTCTGCGTTATCTGTCCGAATTTTCTCAAGCAGAGAGCTACAGTTCTGCAGCTAACTTTATGAGATGTGCCTTTTATATTCAACTGTTCCCATTACATGTATTGTTTACCTGTGGTTTATGTTTGGCCACCATGGAGAACACCTGACACAGACTACTTCTCTCTGACACATCACACTGATCTAGTATGTCCATCAGTCTGTCTGTACAGTCAATGATTGGATCACTATTCTGGGCATAGATCTGAGGAAGAACTGTGCTAAGAATGTAGTTTCCTTTAAAAGAAAATTAAATAGTAAATAGATAATCATCTTAAGCACATAAAATAAAAAATAAAGTTCAACTGTAATTACATTCTTTTGTTTAAAAAAATGATTTTTATTAAATGCTTCTTAGAGCTGTGCCCATTTTTCAAAAGGACTTACAACTTGAGACCAAATTTAATTCTTCATACATTTTGTATAACTTTTTTATTGACATCTGTCATCACATCAAAAATTACTTTTACCTTTTCTATTTTTCAATTTATTCTTTTTTTCTCAAAATTTGAAGCCATGAATGGAAATATATATGACGAAAAGATTTTTCTTTAACAGAACATCCTTTACATTTAACTGTACTATACATTCTATTCCTGGAATGTGACATGTCATTTTTGTTTAATGCATTGTATCCTCACATTTTTTTAACTCCCAATCATACACACTTACCTAAAAATAATTTTTTTTCTACTCACAGAAAAATTTACAAAAGCAATGTGAAAAACAGATTAACCGAAGAATTGATGTAAAATAACCCCAAAAATTTATTTCTCAAATTTAACAAAGCCATCTTCAATGTAAAAATTCAATATTGCACATATAATCTTCATCATTTCCTGACAACTTCTTTTGTCACCCTGTTCTGCTTTATACAAACCTCTAAACATGCTGTTAAGGATGATTTCCATGTGTTTAGCCAGGAGATCAGCGTTGTCTAGTGCTGCCAGGGACAGATAACTGGAGACATTGCGACTCAACTCCTTATTGTCACTGCTGAGGAAATTGACCACCACTGGAATAGCCATTGTCATTACCTTACACTTCCCATAGTGCTGAAACCAAATTCAGGTCAATTATCTACAGACATGCATTTTTAAATTTTATTACAGATACCAAAATTTGCATATACAGTTATAAACATCAGTATCTTGAATACTGATATCTTGAAAGCCAATGATATTATGAAACAATTTGAAAGTCCCAATCACTTTTACACAAAGTATTTTACCCTGTACATCTTGAATCCCAAAAGTTTTTCTTGGTCCCATTGAGTTCAAGGTACTAGCAAGGATTGACTTTATTTCTTTTAAAACAGATGGTTAATTTCTTTATTTTTCACTCAGCTTTCTTTACACATCTTCACCTAACTCTAACTTTTCAATCTCTCTTTTTCCACACTTGTACTTACCATAAACAGACAGCTCATGATGTCTGAGGCTACCTTGGCATGGGGAGGGTCCTTGTCCTGGCTGACCGGGTCAAGGTTATGTTGCTGACACAACTGTAGGAGATGCACCAGTCCTGATGAGTGTTCCTCTATTGTATCCATTTCCCTGTTGACAAAATAGACATGGATCTAAATATTAATACCTGTAAACAGTGTGTATTTCAAACTGCCTTTAATAAATGAAAGGAGTAAATTCAAAATTTAAAAAAGACAAAGCTGAATCACCTGATGGCTGTTGTGACACGAGTGATACAAATCTCCACCACGCTCTGGTCATTATCGTTAGAGACATAGTCCTCTGTATCGATTATGTCCCCTATTTTTTTCAGAGCAGTGCTAATGTCACCATTTATTTCATGATCCTCCAATGAGAACAGGTCTCCAGCCTTTGATAAATCCTTTTCATTTAGAACTTTGGCCAACAACTCATGCATTGTTACAGAAGATCTACATGTACCTGCAAAAATTTCATTTGATTCACACATTCACTTAAACACTCATATTTGTGACAGAAATCTTAATTTTTTCATGAAAAAAAATATTTATCAATACACCTATGTAATTAAGCAATTACAGGTTTGATCAATACTGGATTTATCAATGCTGTTTTAACTACCGGTGAACAGTACCTTTCCCCTTTTGAAAAAATATCCAAATTCCACTGTTTGTAATGTAAAATATCTTGATTAATCACACATATAACATTTTAAAACTATATTTATGATAAATCTAGAATTTACTTCAGATTAGTTCTGAGTCTATAAATACAAATTCTAGCAATATTTATTTGAAAATTGCCATGGCAGATGCCCGTAGACTTCCAAAACAGCCGGTTAAAGAGCTATCACATCTGTAAAATTGTATATACTTGAGTTGCCGTCTAAATAATACACTTGACTTGAAATACCAATGGATTTTGAAACTTGAAAGTAAAATGGTTTGAACCAACCACCGCAAATGTGGATTCATTCTTTTTGAAACAATAAAATAAAATGTATTTCATGAGTACTTAACTTTTAATCAATTAAATATGTATAAATTTGCTTTACCAATATGTAAATGACCAATTACCTGGATAATTTGATTTTACTTTTCAACTAAACTTTTCATCTCTTGCACTTCCGGTTTCGTTTCCAAAACAATAAACATTAAGTCGTGCGAAGATGTTTCTATTTGTAAAGTTTAAATGCTTTTTTAAAAATAATTTTATATAAATGCTTTTTATTAAAACAATTTTATTAAAGTGGAAAGAATAAAAAATACCATTACAATTAATAAAATAAGATATTCAATATTAACCCTTCCCCTGCAAAATTCATTATGTAATTAAATATATAAATAAACCTCAAATTCTAAATATATAAATAAACCTCAAATTCATTCTTAGAAAGTGACAGATCTAGAATATATTTGATTTGGATATTATTGAACATTTTCCAAGAAATAAATTATGTTTCTTTTTACCAATTTCAGAGTCTCTGAATTCAATAATTCTTGAATGAGATATGAAACAATTTACATACAATCAATCAACTTCAAGCAAGTAAAAATTTCACAGTTTTTCTGCCAATGAACTTGCTGGAATGACCTTAGATCAAGGTCATGACCTGTCTTCAAAACATTAGTTATATTTGTGTTTAGTATAAACTTCTGATCCTTATCCATTAGAAAGTTATGGAACAGATTCATATTTCACATGCACTTTTTCTCCCATTGATCTTAAATGAACTTGCCAAAATGACCTTGAGTTAGATCAAGATCAAGTTTTATGCCCTAATAAATTTTTATCTTTAGTATCGACTTCCAATGAGCCTCCATTAGAAAGATATAGATAGAACACAAATAAAACAATTTATTTCCAGTGACAAGCTAGCTGGCATGTGACCGCAGGTCAATACATACCCTCATATCAAATGCAATAATTCTCCATATTAACAAAACATGGTAAGGAGAGCTAGGAATTAAGATGACTTCAGGTCATATGCAACCTTTTTATGCAGTATGAACTTCAACTGTTTCTCCAAAGAAAACTTGTAAACCTATTTTTTCTGTCAGTGACCTTGAGCTTAGCACAGTGACCTTATTTAACAAATCCTCATACCATAAACAATTTTGGTACCAAGTATTAAGTACTAATTAGTCTCTATTGGAAAGTTACATTATGGACAGGATACAAATATTTTTTTTTTCTTTTTCGCTACTGACCTTGAACTTGCTAGAGTGACAAAGGCCTTAAATCATATGCAATATGTATGATAAGTATGATCCTCTAACATTCTCTATTACAAGAGATGTCAATACTGAAATTAAACAATTTTTTTCCTTAATTAAGTGAAACTTGAACAAATGATTTTAGGTCAAGGTCATCATTGCATAGACATAGACAAGGCAACTCTTTTTGAATTTTCAAGTATTGGGGTAAAATTCCTACTTTAAGAGAATGTTACATTTTCTTCAAGATTCAATGTTATAATAAATCAAGAAATGTTTCATAACTTACTAATATTTTCCTTAATTTTTCAACATCAAAATATTTTATTAAATCATTGACTTTGAATGTATGAATTGTAGACTTGATGAAAAATTCCTCAAGATTTTTATTTACAATAATAATCATTTCCTTACTGGGTGTTTTTTTTCAAGTTGGTAAGGAGACGACAAAAATAAAATTCATTTCAAAGATGGCCTCTGCGAAATCTTTTTTTTTAAACAGTCTAGGTTGTTTATTTTAGGTATATAAAATAGAGAATGAACTATAGAACAAAAGACATTATCATTTTCATGATTTTTATTTTCATGTGTAAATAAGGAAATGCTTGTATAACTTTTTAATGGCAGTTTATATCTTACAGGAAATATGCTAGCAGAAGCATTATCTTTCAAAAACAGTAATACTTTGAACTCAAACAACAAAATCTGTTATACAAGATAACCACTCCAACTTCATACAAAATCCAAATACAAGCATTATAACTCACAGTATGTGAATATGGATTCTAACTAAACCTTTCTAAAGCACAGTATAATCTAAAAAATAAAATTTAATTCTAAAGAACATTGTATAAATATTTTTGTAAAATTATTTCAAAACTCCTAGCAGCTAAGAAATTCTGTCTCAAATGATTCTAAAAAAAAAAATTTACATGTTTTATCAAAGATAATAATTTGTTTTCTTAAAAGTAAAACAGTTGAAGAGGATAGTTTCAAAAAAGTTACACCATATCAAGAAACAATATACCAAATAAGTTATTCCTTTTAGCTCCTCGCTGTCATGGTACTCAATGGTCATTGTGTGTGGCATTTATTGTCATAACATTGCTAATATTTATAATAATTTTTAAGTCTCTTAGTTTCTACACAATTGCTACCAAATTTAAAACACAATTATCTCTCTTGACCACTTTTTTAATATCACCTGATTTGTGCATGCATATAACCTCTCATAAACATCAGAATTTTTTTTACTATATGATTTCTTATCACATTATTTTTCAAAGCTCAAAATTATTCAATGGATGTAGAAATACTATTTTTCCCCCCAGATATACAAAAGAAACCAAACATACATATGTACGTATAAGGAGCTCATGAGTTGGCACATATCGACCTGATTCATACATACAAAATTAATCTTCTTCAAATTTAACACAATCCAGAAATAAAGACAAGCTAATTCAGAGAATTTGAGTCCCCCGCTTAGGGAAAAAGTAAACCATGCGCAGTTCGTGGAGGGGGGGGGGTGTCGGATCCCCCTGACTTAAGTTGTAAATAATTAAATTTGTAGAATTATTAAATGTATACATGTATACTGAAGCAAATAAAATACATGTATGTCAATATGCATATAAAGATTTGATTGCTTATTCTTTATTACGTGTATAGAAGATTCTTTTTATATGGAATATTTATCACACTGTAATAATGATTTTATAACCTCATAAATTTTTCATTTCACATGCTGAATACTATCATTTAGTAAAAAAAAAAGTATTTAAAAAAAAAAAAAAGAAAGCATCGGAGATTACACTTGAAGCGAGAGACATGACCACTGGACCACGGAATCGCTTTACCCGATGTGAAGTATATGCAGAACTGAAGTCACATATATGTATATATTCATGTTTTCATGTTGGTATTCTCAAAATTTTACACAATCCATGGTGTTTGATTTATTTAGCCTGTATTAAACAGTTCTAATAGATGTAATAAGAACATAAAGTCCGCCGATAACCTTTTTTATACGAAATAACTCTCCTCATGCCCCTGCGCTAAAAATAGCGACATGTAATACTATAAATACTAATAAAACAACGGGTCGGGGCACTTTGAGAGGTGCGAGAGACGTCCTAGGGAGTTTTGGTATAAAATTACATTGCATAAGCTCAAAATCTTCTTGAAATATCGCCCGGAAATGATAGTATTACACACAGACAGAATGTATAAATTTACGACCTTGAACTTTAACCTTTTGACCTCAAAATCAATAGGGGTCTTCCTTAGGCCACAGGGAGTTTGTTATATAAAATTTCATTGCAATAGCTCAAATGGTTCTAGAGATATCGTGTGGAAACGAAAGTGTTTTAACATACAGAATTTGCTTATTTACGACCTTGACCTTTGAACCTCAAAATAAATAGGGGGTCTTCCTTAGGCCATAGGGAGTTGCTATGCTAAATTTCATTGCAAAAGCTCAAAGGGTTCTCGAGATATCGTGTGGAAACGAAAGCGTTACAGACAGACAGAAAGACGGACGGACGGACGGACAAACCCAAATTAATATCCCCCACTTTTCAAGCGGGGGACAAAAATATAAATATCAATATACATCGCTCATTCCTTAGAGTTAAAATGGACAAAGTTGATTTGGAGATTCTTACATTGACAGCAGTGCTACAAGTAACATCTAATCAAGCAGCTCATTTATGCCATAGTAAACAATCAAGTCAAAAGTCCAAAACTTTTGTCATTCACTTAAAAAATATGTAAACGTCACATCAATTTGAGATAATGAGAATAATCTACATATTATCTAAAACAGAGCTCAATGACAAATGTTTAAAAGAATGGCTTCCCGTGTAAGACATCAATACATGATTATATACACATGCAGAGCTGGTCACATTAGAAGTTTGTAGGTACTCAGATTTAGCTTGATAAAAATGATGATTGGTGATGGCTGACAGAACTATCTTACATTCAACTTACAGGTCAATGCATAATACTTGGCTGATTGTCTATAACGCTTTTGAATACACACAAAATGTATACATTGTGTTAAGTAGTCGGGGGGTTAGGATAACTTGTAATTTCACAATTCTTCATTTTTCCTTAATTACTGTATGCTTATAAGCCAAAATATAGATGAAAAATTTAAAGAGCATGCTATCTGAATCATATTTCATATGTTGTCATATCATTTCCATACATAAAAATGAAAATATGTGCATATAGGGATGATTCATATAAACTGTCTCCTAGAAGTCTAGTTATCACATGAACTTTTACTTTCAGTCTTACACACGGTGTCTTGAGTGAGACACACGTTGTCATTGCACTGGTTTTCTTCTGTAGGTTGGGTTTTGTTAGCTATTCTTCCTAATGTAGGAATGGATTTCACTATTATATCACATGGTGCTGATTGCTTGGTCATAGGAACTGTTCCATAGTGTATTTAGGGCTAGTGGGTTTTACTTTCATCTACAAAGAAAGGATGAAAATACACATACCTACATGTGTTGAATAAATGCTTAATTGAGTTTTTATCAAATAAAAGTCATAAAATTTTCTGACATAAAAGCCATTAAAATGTATGTTATGAAAATGTCTCTCTTTCTCTTGCAATTTTTGGTTTTCAAAATAACACAAGACAATTAAGTCAATATCTGCACTAATAGCTTTATGCTTTCCACTATTAGTTATTCCAATTAGCATGCTTTTATTACCTTGTAGAGGAGGCGTCTATCTGTAACGATATTTCTTTAGACAGTCATTGCCAAGATCAACGACATACACATGGTGATCTGGTGAAGTTGCCAGGCCACTCGGGCGCTTCAATCGATCACTGTTGCTGTCAATACAGAACATCACCTTTCCACTAGAGTTCATGACCTGCACAAAACTCTTTCCTTTTTCAATTTTCGTGGCCAAAATGTGGCCACCACCATCTACCACTAGGCCACTATATTGCCCTTTCTTTTGGTCTGGAATTGAGCGAGAAAATTTGCCATCTCTGCTAAAAATTTGTATTCTGTGGTCAGCGACTAGTATTTCATCACATTTGCCTACAGCTATGGCACAAATAACCTTAAACTGTCCATCTTTTTCTCCTTTCCCTCCAAACGTAGTAAGGGGCTTACCAATGGCATCAAACATGAACATTTTGTTGGCACCATGATCTGCTACTATGATTTCCCCTCTACTGTTGACGGCAATTTCAGTTGGCTCCTGGAAATCGGAGCACGTGAATTTGTTGACTAGCTCACCCTCTTTGGTCACTATGGAGACAGTCTTGGTCCTCCAGTTGACCACTGCTATATTGCCCTCTGGGGTCAAGGCCAGACCAGTCCCTCCCTGATTCTCCAGCCCCACGGGGCCAATATGCCTGATGACCTCGCCAGAGCTACTAATGACTTTAATTCTACTGTTACCCGTATCAGAAACAAACAGAGTCCCTTCACTGTCCATCACTACTCTCACAGGCTGAACAAAATTCTCCTCCCCCTTTCCCCGAGACCCTAACTTCCACACTGGATTTATGTGATCTGAGACATCCACCACATAGGGACTTCCTTTGATTGGTCGGTTGAAAATACTGACAAAAATTTTCACCTTTCCCGCCCTCGGTGGAACGTACTGCACTTCATAGGAACCATCATCTCTATCCCTGACTTTTGATTCCACGAGTTCTCCCTTCTCTGTGCGTACCTCTGTACACACTGGGTCAGAGCCATTAGTTCTGGGGTTACCATGGTAATCTACTGTGTTGATTGTCATGGAGGACTTGAGATGAGAAATAGCCTCGCCCGTTTTTGCTGAACATAAAGCAGGAAAAGTTGTGGAAGTGTTAATTTTACCAAACTCATTCAAGGCCTTGCTAATTTCCCTCATGGAACTATTGTGCTTGAATTCATATTTCATGAAGGAATTTTCTCTTGGTTCTGATAGAGTATTTGTTGCATCGAGTTTCTCATTGAGATCCCCGATTTTCTTTGTAATGTTTCGGACCTCCACTTGGAACTGAAGTCCATCACAATCACTCTGTACCCTGTCCTTTTCAGTCTGGATCAAATCCAGTTGTTCACGTAAAATCTTACGCTTGTCTTCTCGTATTTTGCGTACCCACTGTAGGCAGTCATGCCTGCGTTTGTCCACCATGGCTATAATATCTTGGAATGATCTGTTGATAGATTCTACAGTCTTTTCTACAGAGTTTTCTAAAAGTTGCATTTCAGCAGAAACATTGTCATATGCATGGTTAAGATTTTTGATACATAGATGGGCCTTATACAGGAGTATTTCCGACATCCTTTTTATGGCTATAGAGAATGGAATCACAGTGTGTTGACTAGCCCCTGCCCCGTTATGCTGACCCCCACTACACTGGGTACAAAATACAGAATCACAGGTCTCACAGAACAGCAGCTCCTGAGTGGAATGTGTTGAGCACTTGGGTATGACGTCACGGCGCTGTTGCTGCATCAAATCTAACAGCTGATTCACTATGTAACTAGGTGGAAATGCTACGACACCGCCTCGAGGAATACCGATGTGTTCTCGACAGATAGGACATCGGAAATAGCCAGTGTCATGGACTTGTGCTTCCACGATCCTCTCTAGGCAGTTCTTACACACAGTATGGGAGCATGGCAGGAGTTTGGGGGAATGCTCCACAGCGTCATAGATACACAGACAGGTGCCACAGGTCAGGAAGCTGTCGTTAAAATCCTCATAATTTATAGATACTGTCTCCACCAAAGTTTGTGACATCATATCTGTAAAGATATAGGATATCAAACATTACCATTGCTGTCATTAACAAACAAAAATATTCAATATAAGCGATACTTTTATCTTTGTCATTCACATGTGCATGATAAACAATGGAAAAAGAAACGAACCTGCCTTTATGCAATTTAATTAGGATGCCCAACATAACCACACATACACAAGTTATATGACTATATTTGTCCTGACCAAGTCATCTAACATAAGAACCCTCTCACATCGGCATAGTTGTTATGTAGCGGTGAGTCCTTTACGTGAACTACTTCACTGTAACAGCTAGTACATTATCGCAGCCTAATGACACACAGTGCAGACATTTATTTATTTACAGTTTACGCCTCGGTAATCAGGTCACTGATCCAAATGTACAGCCAGTCACGGATGACTGGATAGGTTAACTGGGGAGATCAATTTCTGATACATTATCACTCTGTTTCAATGGGATCTTCTTACCTGTAACGATCACAGGTGACAAATATTGCCACACCTCCAGGTATCCTGTGTTTACCTGTCTCAGGAATGCAGGTGTACACACTTAAAACATTCAGGAAGGATAACTCATCTTAATTTACAAGTTTTTTTGCAGGACAAGAATGTGCATATATATCTAGTGCAAATTTTTTACAGGTTTTATCAATCATCAGTTACCTGGTACTTTTTTTTTTTACCAAGTGCTAGGGCATATCTTATTTTCTCAAATTTAAATGAATTGCATATATTTTGGTAACCATTGAGGAAGTTTGGCTTAATTAAAATACATATGCCAACCACATTTATTTATGAATTAAATATTATCTTTGTCTCTCTAAGGAGAAGGTTATTTATGTTTTTACGACACAGTCATTTAAATGACAAATAAACATTGCAGATATGTAAAACGCCTACTTTGACAATTTGTGAACTATAACATCAAGACTATTGTAGTCAGTATTGATCTTATTCCCAAGGTTCTTCTCATTAGGCCTTCAGAATGGGGTCTGTAGCCCAATTATACGTGACTACTAAGCCAACTTCTTCTAGGTGCCACAACACAGAACAACACAATACACATTTGTAACGTTACCCTCGCCTGCATTATTGATGGGGCCTGCTATTGCCAAACCTATAATGTGAGACCAATACACAAAGCTACTGTAAATGGTCTGTCAATAATTAAGTACTATCACTTCATTTCATTAATTGCCTCTAATCAATATTCTTCCACAGAAATCCCCCAGTCCTGGCTGACCCCCTTCACATGCTAACAGATATTGACTTTCACCTCCAACTCAAAGGCATCAAAACTGCTGTTTAAACAAAACACACTACTTGACCGAATTCCAGTTTTATAAATACAGTAACTATATATCTATTAACCTAAACTAACCCAATCAGCAATATTCCACACTGGAAGCTTTTATCTTGCTTATTAAATATTATTATATTACAACTCACAGTGATGCCAAAAAAATTCAAGATTGCTAAGTGAAGCTGTTGTGGTTAGTGAACTTGCTTGACAACAGGAGATCTGCTGCCTGCCACCATCTGTTGGCCGGGCTGAACTGATAATGAAGGCCTTAATTACTGGCCACTGCTCTACAGTACATTACACAAAAGTTAATCACCCTTACATCATTTCTCATTTACACAGACTTGTCATATGAAGCTAATAACCCCACAGGTCAATTCATCCACAATATCTCTCTAGTCCTAATACATGTATACAACTGAAATATGTTACAATCTAAAATAGGATTCAGAGCAAAAATTTGACAAAAATACGAAAAGAAATGATGAGATTTCCTATATCTTTATATAACTTTCTTTCAATTCATATTCCTTTACTCTTTGAAAGGATTTCACAAAATTATATTCAATCATCTTTCATATCTAAACAAAATCCAAAGTGGTTACTGCTTGTGGTATGATAAGCAGATTGCCTAATTCAAAATGAAAAATTTAATGTTAATTCAACTTATCTGATACATTATCTTATAAACTTGTAAGCTGTGAATTTATTTTCAACAATTTTATAGATTATACACATTCCAAGAAATTTAAACAAAGCAGAACATTTAAACTTTTTTTTTATATATCAGGAAGTTTCAGTTTGTTTAAGGAAACCAATTTTGAAATCTTCTGGTATACATGTATACGTTTTGGTAATTACTAGCAATTTTCAAGTTTACAGGGTACTTTAAATATTTTAAAAATAAAACAAACAAAACAAAACCATTAGTGCATATGCCTCAATAATAAGGCTAATTGCACTCTCACTTTGATGCTATATGCAGCTAACACTTGCAAATCAACAGTAATTGTTAGGGGAAGTTTTATAAAATTTTGTTTTAGAGAGAATTTTTCACTATTCAAAGCTATTATAGGAACAGCAGCTTTTTCCTCTTGTTTAAGCAACTTCAATAAAACGAAGCTAATTCAACTGAATTCAGTTTGCAGTTTAACAACATAGAACAAAAGGCAAAGAGATCAAGTAACTTACAATAAAAGACTAAACTCCAGGAATTGCCCACACAAGAATGTTATCACCCATGTCCATAATGTCACGAGTTCCAACAAGAATCCTCCATGTCTGTAACATTGTGAGTTCCTTGGTTAACTGCAAGCCTTCTCACTTTTTCTCTGTCCGGTAACTCCCCACACAATCAATACTCATACACCAATCACTGTTATTTATTGGAAGTTAGTCCGACCCCCTCAAATGTCAACCATGTAAACAGCTGAATACAGAATTTATAATCCGTTCAGCACAATTTTTCAGTATTACGACACTTTATCAATCATTTTGGAGAGCAATAGACTGGGGATTATATCATCTTCTATTGTATACCTGTATACCCCTAATTATAAATTCCTGTGCCATTCCTGCTAGAGATATCATCAGTTTGGTGTTAAATGGCCCTACGGTCCCCTCTCTACAAACACACAATCTCTTCTGCACACACTTCAACAATTAGCCACAGACAAAGAAGGCCAATATAAGACTGGAGATTTCACAACATCCACCTTGTTTACAAACTGTATCTAACATACTCTGAAACCAACACCTCCAGATAAGACCTTCATGGATCTAGATAAAGTGTGGAAATAACCCCAGTCCACTATCGACACCCTGCAGGTACAGAACTCTGCTGCATCAAGCAGTTTACAGGTGCCAAGATGTCAAAGTCTTGGTCATTCACCTTGTATTAACACCTGTTCGTACCTATATTTATCTATATATGTAGGAATCCTGAGTGTACATTGCATTGACAGATTTATCATATGACGAACTGTTGACAAACAAGGCAAATGAACTTTATACCTCACTGCAACATCAAGATCACCATTCTAAAAGCACTTTCTATCCTCTTTATTTTCTACAGGAAAAAAACTGAACTCATATATATATATATATACTAAAAATACATGTAACAGGGGTGTCCAAATAAAATTATTTTTAATGTGATAAATTAAGTGGTCTGAGATATAAAATTTCAAAATCCATATGTTCTCAAATAACAAATCTGATACAAAAATGATAAATTATGCAAACGGCATGAAAACACAAAACTTATAATTTATTGAAAATTGTTTATAACATAAATCATTGTATGAAATTTCTGCATGCAGACTTAGCAATAAGTATAATCTGATCCTTCTGACATGTCAATCAAATGAACGTTATTAAAAGAAATGTTTGAAATATCTAGACACACTCAACGTAGTTCACAAAAGAGACTTACTAAAAAGCAGATAATGGCAAATTTCCCCTTACAAGGCCAACGCTATAATATGTCAGCTGATCAGAACAAAAACAATGAAAAAGGAAGATCTGCACATTGCTGGGTAATTACTCACTGAGGGAAGAGACAATGTATTGCATCATTATCATAAACAGCATCCCATGTGTACACAGATAGTAGCTGTATGCTGCACTTGTAAGAAATAAAACTGATTATTGCAATGACAATCATAGGACCTCTTATGTAACAGGCATTGTGTCTGAGATCCTCTGCATAATAGAGCACTCAAGTACATTAAATAAATTTCCTAGTTGTTTTTATGGTTAAATCTTGATCTTATGAAAAAGATACGAGGCCAGGATATTCATTCTGTAAATGTCTTAGTCTTACTAACAAACTTCTATGCATATACATATAAATCATACATGTTAACTCTACCGATTTAGGCGGGAGTCTACCGCTTTTTTAATCCATCTCCCGCCTACCGATTTTATTCGTTAATCTACCGCTTTTCTATAAAAGTTTTGTCTAAAGTATTTTAGGTTCGCTTGGGTATCCATTTTTGAAGCCATTCGTCATGAAATCTCGTAAGATATCGCGTGATTTAACCCGGAATCATACAAACGCTTTTTTTTGTACCGATGTGTACTTAGATTTCAAGCAGTATGTGACAACGACAACAGCACAAAAATCAGTGATTACATTGGTTACGATAAATTTCGAGGACATAACAGCAATGAAAAAGGAGAAATAGTATTTTAGAATTGCATGAAAACGTTTACATCGTCTATAAAAGCACAGGAGCTCGAAATTTTATAAATAAAATCAATAGAAATTACTCGATTGACCAAGCTATGACACACATTTCTACTTTCGTTTTCGATCATCGCAGGAAATCCGATTTTGTAACGAAACATAGGGACTAGTTCTAGATCTAGACTGAACTTTGTCATCATTTGTTGTGTTTAACAATTGAATGAACATTCAGAATTATTGCTTCCTTTCTAGGCTATATCAGGAAAGATCACTCCTCAAAAGGCTGAGCTTAGCCAATCAAAGCAAAATGATAACCATAAAAATATTTGAATACGTATAATTTATGTCAAACTTAATGTGTTTCTGCCTATTTTTTGCAATAGATATTTCAGATTAATTATTGTATTTTCATTTAAGGCCATACATGTATATTTCATGTAATATATCTTCATAAATTCAATCGTAAAAAAACGCGCGCTCAATGCTACCGCTTTTATGGTCAGAATCTCCCTATTTTTCATCACAATAGGTTAACATGTATGTATAAATATATATAGCTTCAAAAGCTGAAACTTTAAAAGAGGTAATTCTGAGCAAAAACTCAAGATGGCATACCTGACTTTCTTAAACCAATTCCGAACCCATTATTTCTATTTTTTAGTAAGAATCAGAAAAGCATTTCCCCCAGAGTAAAGAAGTGGAAAGTTCAACCTGTAAGACACTTCTGAAACTAATAGATGCCATGTCAATCAATTCCCGAGAAACCACTAATTGTTTTAGACCTCCTACACTGTACACCAACTGCACACAGGCAAAAACTGCTGAAATGTGTTTCCCCAGCTTTTAAGAGGGAAATTAGTTAATAGGGAAAAATTGTTGATGAGATGCTAAAAATGATGCTCTTTGTAGAATGGAGCAAATGCCTTCATTCAAAACAAATTTCTTCCAGACAACAAGAAAATACATTATGGATACATGTATCATTTTATGAATTGGATTGCATTCTGCTCTTTGGCCTTACTTCTCAGAGTAATTACAATGGGGATCTAGGATAACTGATATATCAATATCAGCTATGTCTAGTACTATGACTTCCCCTGCTTCAAAGAGAATCAAACAATGGAAGCAGATCCAAACTGCTAGATCAGAAGATAAGAACAGATGTACACGTCAAGGAACAGTAAACTATAGGGGCCTATCTCTACTGTATATCATGAATAAAAGAACATACTAATAAAATGTGAAAATGCAGAATTTTTTCCCCTTTTTTTCATCCCCCACTTTCATGGAAAGTGGGGGATATTAATTTTGGCCTGTCTTTCTGTCCATCTACTTGTATATTTCTGTCTTTTACACTTTTATTTCTGTGCAATGTCTCAAGAAGCCTTTGAACTTTTGCAATGAAATTTCACATAACTCCCTTTGGCCTAAAGAAGACCCACATTGATTTTGAGGTCAAAAGGTCAAAGGTCAAGGTTATAGATTCTGTCTGTTTTAAGTCTACTGCTTCCATGTGATTTTGAGCTTTTGCAATGGAATTTTATACCATACCTCCCTATGGCCTTTCCCGCCCCTTTTAAAGCACCCCTCCCCTTAGATCCGTACATGCTCTTCTTTTTTCCTCTCTGGAGGACAGATCCTCAGAGTTGCTTATTTTCATAACTTTTTCTTTTTTATCTATCTAAATTAATTACTTTGAGATAAAAGATTCTTAGAAAAATTCAGAGCATAACAGAAAATGCTTAGCAGGAAAGAACCATATCCATATCATACAATGTGCGTAAAACACACTACTTGATCAGCCTTAACCACAGATTGAAGAGTCAATGACTGGTGAACAGTATTGGATATATTATAGATAATGAGAATGAACATGCAACAGGCTTATAAATACTAACCTGTCAGCAAACCAAGGAGACTTCCTAGAACAGATGAAGCTTACAGTCCATATAGTAGTGGGCCTCATTGGGTTATTCCTTGGTCATACTGGTCTCTGTGCCTCAAACCTACAGAAAAAAAGTCTTTTTCATTAGTTGGGTCATTAATTCTGTGAACAGATGGATGAACTCTTAAAAATTAGTTTCCTCCATAAATGAATACATTACTGAGGAAATAACAAGGTATTAAGACAAATTGATTTTTCATGTAAAAATCAGCTAATATTTGATTAACCTTCACTGTGAGATATGCTGGATCAATGACCATCATTCTTAGCAAAATCATTGACCATCATTCTTAGCAACCTGTGTAGCAGTTCCCGAGAACACTGACAAGTAATTCCATCCTTGGATAGGCAAATTAGCTGAGGTCATACAAAAAATAACTCCAAAGAGATTTCTGAAGAGATCATCCTGAAATTTCTCTGGGAATCTGAATCAAATGTTATTAAGCCAAACCCAAGAGCATTTCTACAATGTCACAATCGACAAATAAAGCATAATTAATATGTCTGGCTGAAGTGTGTGCTTTTTCTTCCAAGAGACATTAACAATCTACAAGACAGACAGGAATGGCCAGAGCCAGAGAGTCATGCCAGACATTAAGTTTCCTAACAACAGCTGTTGGCATTGGCTTTTTCATCTGCTTGCATGACTCTTAAGTTTTTTTCCTGCACATCCAATCAATAATGGTGCATACTGAAGGAAACAAATGGCCACATTAAGTCTGTATCAAAGTCAGGATCCCCAAATCACTGTAACCACCCCACACATTACAAGATAAAACTGCTCACTGAAATATCCTTGATGTAGCAGAAAAACACCCTCTTTGTGTTTCTATAATCACTATATCATAGTTAATCAAACAATTTCAATTTGACATACACCAGGCTTATTCAGCTACTATCCTATCATATTTTTATGATATCTGAGGCATTATGTAACATCTCTACAAAATTTTATCTGGAATAAAAAGAGCCAAATCTCTGTAAACTTTGAGCGTGTGTTAGATAAACTCCAGGGAACAGGGTGTTATCAATAATTCCTATAGCTCACCTGACAAATCGATGAGGGAGGTAGAGTACCATATGTATGTGTGACTTTTCAGTTTGATTCAAGATTCAGTCTAAGGATTAACAACAATACTAGGCCTCTAATCATGGAGAGAGAGTAAAAACTGAAACTGAGATTCTCTAGAGAGTCATATGATAAGGAATTATGTAGGTCACATGCAGCATCAAAATGCTGCCTCAAAAGTTTAATTGCATGGACAGAGGTATCCCAAACTTTACTTGTAAATTTACTAAAGCCTGCCTCAAGACTTTGAATGCATTTTCAGGGCAAAGCAATATGTGCAATTTTTTTCCAAACATATTTACCTTAAAACCACAGTAGTCTTGCAATATTTAGAAAATATCGCTACTCTGCAATTTTAACCATGGCAAATTACCAATGTATGACATAATTAAGAAGACACTTCTGGAAAATCCAAAACATGTGTTTCCAGGACAGTGTGTGACAAATTGATTTTCCATAAATCATCAAATATTTGTTCTAGGGAAAAAGGATGAGGTTAATTTGTCATATTTTCTTTCTTAATGAACAGTGCCTGATATGATAACAATTTTTACCTTAATTGAATATCATAAATCATGGTAATGATTTATCAGTGACATTAATTAACCATTACGTAATGTTGCGGAGCCTGGCTATACTTTGCAAATCACTCTCCCCCAAAAATGGCAAAGATGAAGGGAAGCAACCATGGATACAAATTAATATTATTTACAAAACCAAAAGTTAATTAATCATAATGTGCATCACCGTTCAAATCTCACCATTTATTAATATGAAAACAAATGTGATTTTATCTACATGTACAGACTCCCTCTCAGATTTTGATTACCTCAATAAAAATTCAAGTATATTAAAAATGGTTCAAAAAACATTAAAATCTTCTTGCATTAATAAAAAAACAAGAAATTTTATATTGAACTATATGATATCCAAACACTGACATTTGAAATATCATGGATATGTTGAACTGATTAAGTAGTAACAACAACATATTCTTCATGTATATTTCACCCTCAATATCACGAAGCATTGGCCATCTGGACACTTTTTATGTCCCACCATGTTTGAGATAATAAGATTTGACTGTACATTTTATTTTATCACATAAGGAATTCTACCCAAATATTTCTTTGAAAGAAACCAGGTTTACTAAGCGCTAATTTGGAGTATTCCTTAATTAAATTATAATTACATAAGATTTGTTGATACTTAAAATTTAAAAGAAATCAATTTTTAAATTTGCTGAGAAAGGGACGTAGCCTTCGATCATCAAATAGCCTATGTAAAATTTGCAACAGGTGATACTATTTACACATGTTTTATGTATTGACAGATCTTGGCAGAATTACAAACAGAAATAATTAATGTTTGGTCAGTATGGAATAATTGATTGGCATGATAAACTGTTCAGGAAAATGTGAATACAGTGTACAACTTAACTTCAGCTCTTCAAACCATCCCTAATCCAAGCATAAATCAAAGTACTGAAAGTACTGTTAGACAGAGGCTTCATGTATGAGAGAACACAAAAGAAATATATATCATACATAGCTGTAAAGAGTGTATTTTGAGAAATAATGTGTGGGTTTTTTTTCAATTCAACATTTTTTTCAAAGGATACTCCAATATTCATGAGGTTTTTGGGATATTATAATTTCATCTTTGTAATGTAAACTTCGCCATGATTAAAGTTCACTGTTTTTTAGATGAGCATCTTCGCTAGCCAAGGGATTCCGATCCGATATCTACTCTACAACCCTTGGCAGATTTAGTCCTATCAAACGGGAACTTTGATTGCGCCGCCTATCGCCGTAAAGTCCCTTGAAGCTCTTTAATATTTGTCTGATGAAAATAGCTGTAACATATGAAGATCAATATGACGTTTGAAACAATATGGCGACCTCCATGTGGAATATATTCCAAATAACTTCATACAGCTGTGGGCTGTGGGCACACCTCAAAAGTGGAAGAAAGTATCGTTCTTCTTGGATTTTTAATCAAGAGTTTGACGCTACTTTCTACTTGTTGCCGTATCAATTATTATCAATGAGCCGTGACATTTGATTGGCTTAAATTCATGCATCTAAAATGCGGAACACGGACTTATGTGGTCCTTTCAATAGTTCTTGAAAACATATATAATTAAAAGAAAAAAATCAAATTAATTAATCCCTTGTTTTTTTAAGCATAGATCACGTCCTAACTTTCATCCATTGTAAATATTCCTTTTATTTTGTGCATAAAACATAAACAGACTTTAATTCAGCCGATAATCGTCGATTAGTAAAAACCTTGCGAAGACTCGGACTTCGCAGCCAATCAAATTCGTTTGCGCGAGTTCTAAAATTTTCGGCCAAATCTGCCAATGGTTGTCAAGTAGGTATCGAATCGGAAACCCTTGGCTAGCGAAGATGTTAGATGAGATACTTTCAATATTAAACCTTTCAACGTAAGAAACAGTTATTGACTAGGCCTGGTTAACATAAAACTTAGACGGGCTAACTTTTTATCACAGTCTCACTTAAAGAATATATAGTGGAAAAGCGAGACTGAGATCAAAGGTGAGCTTGTCTAATATAAGTTGTATGCCCCCAGGCCCGGTTTGATGAATGTAGGTCTAGTATGTTCTAGTCATGAGCCCACTGGCGGAATTAAAAGGGGCCCCTGGCCCCCTCCCTTTTGAGTCCAAAAATAATACACAATATTTGATAAATGAGTGTTTTAATTGCGACTGTGGGCCCCTTCTCTGACCTCAAACTGGCCCCCCTTTTCCAGAATTTCTGGATTCAGCAATAGGCCTCAGCCAGTCAGGAGTTTCCATATTTCAAGATATCTTATTTATAGGTCACATAGACCTACTGTTAACATAATTATGACATGTAACAGCTACCAAAATCAACAGTTTTCGGCCTTATTGTAATAATGTTATGATATGAGCTAACATGGAAAAAGAAGCAGCCAGGTAATTGGACATGAACAACATGATTTAGTACAGTTTGTCTTAAACCTTTGTGATACAAAATGGAGTGACCTAGCTTTATGCAACACAGAATTTTCTTTAAGTAATAACATGCAATAAATGTTCGTTCCAGAACACAATTTTTGAGTGGAATAAAATATACTTTCTTACTTAAAGTAAACAGAACAATAAAATTCATAATACTTGCTATTTCACAAGTTTAAATTGTTTTTGGAGAACTGGGGTATTGCTTACAATAACAAAGATATATCTTGACAAATTTGAAAACCAATATTTCTGGAATTATGAAATGTAGTATTTTATCATATGACAGATTTAACCCAAAGAATGTAAAAAAAAAAAAAAAAAAAAGTTGACATGAATACCAATGATCAGAAATACATGTAATCTTGTATATAAAAAATAATTAAAGTTTGAGATGTGAAAGAGGTAAAACACAAGTATCAACTGCAAATAAGGATAAATGATATGACAAAAAGACAACTTAATTATTTCAGAAGATATAATTTTTAATTATTAATTAGAAAATAATGTGATAAATCATGTAAATCCTATGAATCAAGATTTGGGTTGTACCCAAAGGTCAAAAGTTACAAATGCATTTTGATCTCAATGTCAGAGTTGCCGTTTGTTTCTCTCTTATCTAATGTGAGGGTTCCCTTAAAGGCCGGGGGCGACCTAGATTTTTTGCCACCTGGTAAAATAGGCGGCGCTTATCTCCATCACTGTCAGTGCTGCTGATAAGAACTGCACTGAGCTGAGACAGCTTTGTTTACAAATTACCGACAGTGGGAATTCCATTCCATTTTGTGTGTAAATATAAATAAAGAAATGAAATCTGTGTGTACTGCAAATCTCTAATTATTCAAGTTTAATTTTAATATATACAACATTTACTTATTAACACATAAATGCAGTGTATAAACAGTTAAGTTTTTGCAGATAATCAGGACTAAAGTTTCAAACTAATTAAAATAATGGAGTTTGATTAAAAGTTCTTACAATTTGGGATATTTACACATGTCTCCTTCAAATAAAATCAATTACATCAGTTTCTTCTTTTAGCTTTGAAGACACTCTTCACATATCGTGTCCAAATATTTTTCCTAAATGAGAAAGTTAATTTTTTGTAGTTCTTTTTACCCTTAGCACTTCTTGGCATTCGGTGGTTTGGTCTCCAAACAGATGTATATTCTCTGTCCACGTTTTCATTCCAATGACATACGGCCAAATTAGATCTTGCTCTGTACATGTCATCAGAAAATGATATTCTTTTGTCCTGGTATACATTCATGACATTGATGAAGCTTTCAACATAAAATGTATCATGACATAAAATGTAATCCTGTGGATGCTTATAAACAGTAGAATTTTTTACGACCCCTAGCAACAACTTCTCGGCACACGGGTTAGAAATAACTTTTCGAGGTATTTCATAGTTTTGATCCATTTTGCACCTGGAGGACGAATGACAATTTATGTGATTGTTCTTGTAATGTTCTACTATGTTCAGTAGAAGTTCTTAAAGTTTTGAGGTTTCTTCATCACAGTTTCTAATGGCCCAGTGAAAGTGAGTGCACACTGGCTCCACTTTGTCATCAAGTTGAGATGACCAGGTTTTTCCCTCAAGATATGCTGGCCCAGAAGATACTTTTTTCAAAGAAGACTTAACTGATTTGACCGCATGCCAGGTGTCGTTTTGATTT